TTGCGAAGTAGAGGCAATAGAGTTTGTCGGTGCCGAAGATAATAAAGATGAAGTCGCTCCACCATGGCGACAAAGTTGCATAGCCGTGATGAAGTGAACACGAGTCGGCGGCAACAGAAGCAAACCAGTAGCGAAGACCCGTAGTTGTGAAGATAAAAACACTAGTCGGCGGCGGCGAAGGCAAACCGACGATGACGATGACGCCAGTCAATGATGACGAAGACACGCAGCCGTGGAGGTGAACAAGCCAGTCGACGTCAGACAAGGCGGCCAGCAATGAATACGATGACGTCCATCAGTAGTGGTAGCGGTATAAACCAGCCGTAGAGGCGAGGGCACTAGACAGCAGTAGACGAGACGACCGGCAGTGAAGACGATAAGGCCAATCAACACTGGCAGAATCATGAAGCTATGTAAGTGAAGAAACCAGTCAGCAACAGATGTAGACAGCTTGCGTTGAAGATGATGACGCCTATTAGCGCTGGCCGCAACGTGGCAAGCCGTGAAGACGATAGCACTAGTTGGCATCATACGAGGTGGCCGGTCGGAGAAGATGTAGACGTCCTACAACGGCGGCATAATAAACCAGCCGTGCAGGCGGAGACACCAGTCGGCGGCGGCGAAGGCGAGCCATCGGTGAAGACGTAGACGCCCAACAACGGCGGCATAATAGGCCAGCCATGCAGGCGGAGACACCAGTCGGTGACGAAGGCAAGTCGGTCGGTGAAGACGTAGATGCCCAACAAACGACGGTGTGACCACCCAACCGTATAAGCGAAGACACCAGTTGGCGGCGACGACAGCAAGCCAATGGTGATGTTCTGACTTATCTATTCCTAAAGCGTAGGAGATAAGCTTAAAGCCGTGAATCCCTTTCATGCATATCTGGATCTGGATCCTACAGAACAAGCATATAGGATGAGTAGTATCTGATGTTAATATAATTCTCGATGAAAATTCAAGTATTTTAAAATGTTTATAAATATGTATTTCTCCTCTTGTCAATTTTGATTTCCCCAAGCAGATGAATCCTTACGTTTAAACACTATGCCCGACTAGTCATAGCCCCCAAGCACCGGGGGTCGGCCTAGGCACTTCCCAGACATGCATATGAGTGACATGAGTTCGTCATTAATGGAACAAAGTTTCACGAATCGGAGTTTATTACTCGGGTACTTTTGCAATTGTTAAGAGCAGAAAATAAATTTATCTTATCTCTGTGCTTTTGATTTATTCTGAATAATACTTAGCACTTTGTGTTACTCGGTCCATCCAACGAGCCCCCGAGTGCTAGGAATTGGCCCAAAGGCAACTATCCATCGACAAACCAAACGGAAAGCATAGGAAGATAGAACTCCATAACTCGATAGACACTTTTGTACTCAGATTATTTCGCAAGCAATCAAGATATATATTATGAAAAATGTTGAAAAAATATGACATAACATCTATAGCCCCCGACTCACTAGTCAATAGCGAACCAATTGATGTAGTGAGTTAGAGGAGAAGGAAAATATCATATAAAAAAGAAAATTAATGATGACTTAGCTTTGTAATATTCCCCTTGATGATGGCAGAGGTGACCAATGTGGGAACAAAGTCGTCCATCAATGGCGATGAAAACACCAGTCGGCACCAGTGGAACCAAGCCGGTGGTGTAGATGATGAGGCCCATCAACGGCGGCGGAGTCCGCCAACCGTATAGGTGAAAACACTAGTCAGCGGCGGCAGAGGCAAGCCGACAGTGAAAGCGAAGGTGCCCATCAACGGTAGTGTGACTAACCAACCATATAGGCGAGAACATCAGTCGGCGGCGACGGAGGCAAGCCGGTGGTGAAAAAGTAGATGCCCATCAACGGCGGTGTAACCAACCAACCGTATAGGCGAGAACACCAGTCAGCGGCAACGAAGGCAGGCCGGCGATGAAGTCGTAGACACCCAACAATGGCAGCATAATAGGCCAACCGTGGAAGCGGAGACACCAGTCGACGGCGACGAAGGCAAGCCGATCGGTAAAGTCGTAGACGTCCTACAACGGTGGCATAATAGGCCAGCCATGTAGGCGGAGACACCAGTTGGCGGCGACGGAGGCAAGCCGGTCGGTGAAGTCGTAGACGTCCTACAACGGATAAGCACGAGGCCTAAAAGTGGATGGATGCGGAGACAAAGGATTTAGACACGTTCAGGCCCTCTCGATGAGAGGTAATACCCTACTCCTGTTTGGGGATTTGAATCCGCCAGATGTGTATTGATCTGACGATCAGGTTGTGTCTCATGCCCCCTAGAGGGCCTCCTGCCCACCTTATATAAGATGGGGGGCAGGATTACAAGATACAAACCTTAACCAATACGGTATCGGCTTCCTAAATCTACTTTACAATATTATCAAACCAGGACTTTAGGCCGTTCCATAATATACAAGGAAACGTAATACCCAAGTCATGATCCGTTACATATTTCATAGATATAAGTTATCCCCTATATCAGTCGGATAACCACGCCGTGTGGGTATGGGGTACCCATAATCTCCACAAGAACACTAAACTAACTTGAAAGAATATGAGAGAGCTCTTGCTTGAGGTGTGTGTTGAAGTGAAGAGAGTGAGCTCCTTTTATAGGCAGGTATGACGGTTGTATCTACTGCGAAATGTCTGAAGTACCCCGCAACTGCCATCAGGAGAAGATCTGGAGCATCCCTGCCAAACCCCACATCCAATGGTGGAGAGGAGGGTTCGGCCGAACCAGGGGCCGGCCCAACCAGCCCACAATTTGGCTAGTGGCCTCCTAGACTTCTCTTCTCCGCAGACTTGTGAATTTTGGCCCAATTGGTTGTGTCATTTCTGAGTTCTTGGCCCATTCATACATAAGTTTGATTCTCGACATCGTCCGATTGATTTATCGTTTGATTTGATGTCGATTCTCCTTCACTTTATACTTATTCTCTACAAAAGGTTAGTAAACCAAAGACTAGTGGAATATTATTATTCTAACATGTATATGTATTGCAAGCATAACTAGTTCTCCTCTATTTTGGTAATATTGACGGTCGAAATTGATCGCTAACGACCATCAACAAAACCCCCCAAGCTTGAACCTTTGCTCGTCCCGAGTGAAGGACGAAAAGAAACAAAAACTTGGTTGTTGATCAGGAGTTGCTACTATGCTGTATATCTCAAAGATACAGGTGCAAGGTATATATACTCTCTTCAGATTAAATAATCTTTGGCACGATGGCTTACCCTTACCCCTGATTCCCACGAGACATTGCTTCTCTTTGCCTTCGGTGGTTGAAAGACAGAACAACAATTAGAGCACCAATCACCCAATCTTTATTCAACTTTTATTCCGGAAGTTTTCAAATGATTTTGCAAAAGAAAGCCGAGTTCCTCAAATGATTCACTCAGTCTCTCTAAGTGTATCAATATAAATTCCTCACATTTTTGCCTTTTTGATTCCTACTCTAAGGTTTGATATGTGGAGCTCGGTAGAGATTAAACATGGCATACTTGCATTCACATTTATTACTAAGTCAAAAACTTTGACTAAAACAGATGACTAAACATACTCAAGATCAAGATCGTGCAAAGTGTGTGTGATATATGGTGGTAATGGTATATGAGGAAATAAACAAAAATGCTCCTCCTTTGTGCTTACTTTCTTCTCCCAAAAATCCTTCTTTTATTGATTAGGAGAGGGCATAGATACATTTTTTTTCAATATCATTCTCATGCTTCACAGAGCATAACTTTATTTTTATTTTTTTTAATGACCATGCCTTTCCCTCCTCTTTTTTTTCGAAAGGATTTTCTTTTCAGGAGAAGAAATCACATGAAAGAATGGAGAATTTATTTTGGTGGTAATATGGAAATGGAATGGAATGGATAATTGCTAGGTCCTAGTGTAGGAGTTTAGCATGTGCATATATGTGGGTGTATGATCTTGATCATAGAGCATGAGAAGTACTCCCTTTGTTTCACAATGTAAGTCATTCTAGCATTTCCCACATTCATAGTGATGTTAATTTATCATTTTGAAAAACAAAACATCCGAAATTCAAGTCAAACTAGGACTAGGATCATAGCAACTCTTATTTACTATCTCATATCTTGCAACAACTTAGACTCAGATTAGCAAGTGCAGCTCATTTACCTCAGGTTCCCATATAATTGTTGGCTACTTATATTTAACCTTTGAGAGAGCACTTACCTATGAACCCATATTTAAGAGATATAAAACAGAGCAACTATTCATCATTTCAACAAAGAGAACTAGTTTATCTTACCTAGCATGACTCAAACCTAACCTATCTTTTTGGTATTTTTTATTTTGCAAAAAGTTACCTCAGCGGAAAGAAAAAAAGATGCAATTGGAAAGCAAATATACAATTGGAAAGGGAAATACGCAATGCAATACAAGTTACCTTAGCGGGGAGAGAGATGTCTCCCCTCCCCCACCCCACCCCCCCCCCCCCGAAGATTGTCTTTCACTCAGGGTCCTTGATAAGGATTGAACCCCTAAAAGCGAAAGTACGCTTGTAGGTCGTCGTGCTGTTGCTGCATCATGTTGTTGATGTTGGCGAACTGAGCATCAGTTGTCTGTTGCCATTCTTGCGTCTGGGCTATGTGTTCCGTGAGGTTATATTGGATCTCCCCCGTCTGCACATCAAGGGTGTCTATTCTCCTGGTGATTTCACCCAAGTCCAAACGAGAGGAACTTGAGCGCCATTCACCTGGAGATGTGTCACGTCCTGATTTTTCGCTTTCCGTTCTTCTCGCCTATTTGCGAAAATTCACATTTGGTTTATTCGTCTAAAATAGCTTAATAAAAATTTCGTTAAATCAAAAGGTTTGAAAGTGATTAATTAATTTATTACGTTGTTCGCTTTGTGATTCTTAATTGGAGTTAGTTGGATTTAATTTGTATTTCGGAAGTGGAGCTCAATCCCTAATTCAAATTCCATCCAAATCCAATATTCCTTCCCAAAAATTCCAAATATTTCCAGAGAAGTCCCTATCTTTTTCCCTTTTTCCTTCCTCTCTTTTTCTCTATTCTGCCCTTTTGCAGTTTAGCCCTTATTCTTCTTTCTTTTTCTTTTTCCCCCACCTTCTTCTACCTCCAGCTCTCTCTTCTTGAGCTGCAGGCCCGGGGAGGCCAAGCCCCGAGCCCACGTGCTGCCCTCGGCCCGGCATCCTCCTCTCTGTGTCCCCGGCCCAAGCCGCCGCCGACCGAGCCCGTGCCGCAAGCCCACACGGCCGCCGCAAAATCCCGCAAGCCGCGCCGCCAAATTTGGAGCCGCCGCCTTTCCAAAGCTTGCGCCGTGTGCCCTAACCCTAGCTACTCCCTCCTCTATAAATACCGCCGGCCACCGCCCCTTTTTCCCCCTTTTTCCAAAGCCGCCGCCGCCGCCGCCGTTGCTCCGTGCCGCCGCCAGGAGCCGCGCCGTCGTCGTCACCGTCTTCCTACCGCACCGCAGCCGCTGGTAAAGCCCTGAGGCCGAGCCTCTTTTCCTTCCGCGCCGTTTTCCTCTCTCCTCCTCAACTCCGGCGTCCACCGCTCGTTGTCGATGGGTCATCTCCACGTCGTCCCGAAGCTCGGTGCTGCGCCACCGGATTCGCCTCCGCCTCCTCTTGCCGACGCCGCTGCTTGTCGCTGCAGCCGCACGCCGTTGCCGGAGAACGCCGCTGATGCCGCTGTGCCGGAGTCGCCATGCCGCCATGGCCGGGCGCGCCTAGGCCTGTGGTGGAGCAGCTGCTCCTTGTCCTCTTCCCTGTGACACTGACGTGTGGGACCTGCCATCCAAAAACTCCAAATAATCACAGCCGTCCAAATCCCTAGATCAAATCCCAACTGTTGGATCAACATAATCCCTAACCTATGCCACCTCAGCCCTAGATCCAACCATGTCAGTGCCACCTCATCGCCTTGTGTCGCCACGTGTCGTTCCACGTCATCGAGTCCACATACACCGAGTCCACCCATACACTCTATGCCACTGACAGTGGGCCCACATATATTTTCCTATCCAAAATTAATTCAATTTCCGAATTAAATATCCAGAGAATATTCTCGGAATATTCCTTTTTCTTTTATCCTCGGATTTTCCCTGAATTCAAACTTCCGGAGGCCATAACTTTTCCGTTTGAACTCCGATTCGACCCATTCTTCTTCCTAAATTCTTCTAAAATCGAACTCTACCTCCTGGTTTAATTGGTTATTTCATTTGATGTTATTTAGTTAGTTTTTCTTTGTGTTTATTTGTTTTTCATTTGCAATCGTGTAGACGTTGGAGCGGAAGAGCAGTTTGCTTCAGAAGACGTTGTGCAAGGACAGTACTGGGATCAAGGCAAGTGCACTCTTTGAACATATTGAACCCATTTGTGAAATGTTTTGTTTTGAATACATGCATTGTTTTGTTTATAAACTATCGATGGGTAGCGTGACCTAATTGTTATTATTATCCTACCTTTGATAATTATTGATTGCCATGAAACCTTGTCACCCTAGTCTTTGTGAGTTGAAAATTGGGCTCAACTCAAGGTAGAGTAGTTATGTTTAGCCCTGCTCATGGTTGTTTTACAAGCAAAATATAATTTTGAATAATCATATACTTATAATCACTTTTATATGAACTGTGTGGCTGTGTGCTATCTTTTCGGTAGCATGTGTTGCACCGTGTAAAACAACAGGCGGATAAAACATTTTTGACCAGGGTGATGGGTGGTTCTGTGTGAACCTGGTTAGGTGGTAATGTATCTGTGTGATCATTGCTGGGTATGGTCTCTGTGTGAGCCTACTGTTGAGCTGTGTGCTATTGTAGTTTGGCAAGTTGCCTTGGTCAATTAAGGACTTCACTTCATAAGTCATGGATTTGAGCCTAACGTGCAACCACATATCTCATGGGAAGAACCTGGCCCAGTAGGATTCCGAGTCTTGGCACTGTCGGCCCAGGTGGCTAGATGATAGGAGTTTAGGTTCGCCATGGGGACTTTCTTGTCAGTGTGAGGGAAAGGTGTCTCATGGGGGAAGGCAGTGCAACCTGAAGTGTGACACTTGCGCATGGTCGTTAAAAGGACGATGTATCTTGTGGGTCAAGTTGTACATCCTCTGCAGAGTGTTAATTAATCTATTCGAATAACCGCGTCCACGGTCATGGACATGCTCGGTGATATCTCATGAGGGGTAAATTGTGAAAACTGGGAATGAACTGTGTGCAGGTTAATGAATATAGCTATGTGGTCCTGTGTGGACGAATCCTGTGTGGATGGATAGTTGGCAATACCCGTTATTTATAACTATTGTTTTAAACCTGTTTATAAATTGTTTATAACTGCAAATTGTTGTGTTATGCAAAATAGCCATTGCCTTTGTTGTCAGCTTTGCATATGCATATTTCTGTGTGCTTGCTGAGTATTCCATGTACTCACCTTGCAATTCCCCCAATTCCAGAAGAAAGGTTCCCGCTGTTTCCTGAGGAGTTTGCTGCTGAAGACGAGGAATAGGTCGTGAATCCCAGTTGACTGCCTGTGGCAAGTTGAATGGAGCTACTACGCATTTATCATATTTCCGCTGCTACTTTAATATTTTCCTTAGGCCCTTCGTGGCAGAATAAATGTAAACTTTAGCCATAAGGCTTATCATAGTCATTATTAATATTAAATATTAGGTTTCCTTCGTGATGTTGGTTGTGATATTATCTTTGTGTCTGTGTGTGCTAGCTTGATCATGGACTAGCACTTATACACAGGAGGTCCTATGTTGGGTCCCCACAAGATGTAAGCATACCACTTGATCTGGGGGGTTGGTTATCCCCCCATTGTATGTCATGAGGCGCACGCCACCGGTCCTCACTGGCACTTGCCCAGCTTGAGACTCCGATGCTGTGGCGTGAAGCTTGGGTCCATCCGGGTGCATCCCCAGTTGATTCCCAACCTGCCTCACACATCTGCACGGGTGTTGAGGATGATGAACCTTCTCGTTCATTCCTTGTCATGTTGCGTGTCTCCCTGTATGCTCCACCTGCACGAGATTCTTCTATGGTCTGCAGGGGAATGGTTAGTTCATGGAAGTTGTACAAATGATACCCGCATTTGGCAACGAGATTTCATTTGTATAACCGTGGAAAAAGTATATCAAAGATTCATCTACTCCATGTTTAAGAATGTGCCCTTGCACTAGATAACCTTTTGCTATCCAGGTAATCAGAGAAGTGCACTCAACAGGAGCATAAAATCTTATACTCTCTAACCATTGTCTTATCATACATTTCACAGGAGAAACTTTGTTGTTTCTAACCATGGCAAACATGATAATCAATTCATCCCCCCTAATGGGTCTAAGATCACCTCTAGGAAACAAAGTCATAGCAATCCATTTGTGCATAAGCCTAAGCGTAGGATTATGGATATCATTTATTCTAGGTTTCTTGCAAATTGGAGCACCAGAAATATCTTCCCAAAACCTACTTTTCTCGAACCCAGGAATTCATTTCTGGAGATCGATTTTACAGGAATCGTGAAAGCCAAGAAGTGTACTTAATCCTTTCCATGTAAGTGTGTATTCCTTATGGAAAAAGCGAAAGAAAATTCCATCTTCTATTTATTTCAAAGTACACAGGAATTGCAAAGTAAGCAAACGAGAACCAGACTCATCTACCACAGCAAATCTCTGCCAACCAACAGCTTTCCAAATAGCACGAAAATCAACATCCATACCTATCTTTTTTAGCAGCTCCGGAGTACTCTCGCATGTGAGCATACTCCCGGTCTCTCAGCATGTAGTAGGCTTGTCTTTCCCGATCACCAACAAGGTCGAGATTGGCGTCGTTCGGGAGATGTCACGGAGCGTCGGCATCCTCCATTGAGACATCAGCTGATGAACGAGTGCTAGACTTGTCATGATGACTTGACGAAGAACCGGACCCCTTGAACAGACGAGACAATCGCCTCCTCATTCTGCACAATGGAGCAAGAACGGACTAACTCGGCGGGGGTTAGAATAGCAAGAGTTTCACCCGCCGGTTAGTTTCACCAAAGCAACTTGTATATATGCAACTAAGTATTTGAATTTGAGGGAAACTATCAAAGCTTGAATGAATTTGAGAGCAAACTTTGGAGAGTGAATGAAAATGTGTTGAAATGTGGTGGAGTTCCCTCTCCCGGCCGGTTGGCTTAAGTAGTGCACCCACAACGGTCAAAACTGACCTGTGGGGCCCACTAGCCGTTACCCTGCCAAAAGTGGCAAGTGGCCGTTGACTGGCCAGTTCGGCCGAACCAGGCGGCCCCCATCGTGTGGTTGAGGCCGATAGCCCCTAAGCTCGAGCCTCTCGGATCTGGCGTCGGTGCCACCAGTGTCGCCATTAAATTCGGCTGAGGGGTCAAGGCCATGGTCAGAGGTGGCGAGGGGTCAAGACCTCCGTCGCCATCGCGTTGCCGAGGAGAGGCGGGCCATCACCGTCGCATCGCTCGCCAGCTCCGTAAGGTTGGAAGAGAGTGGATGGAATATTCGAGAGTGAGAGGCTAGGAGGAAGGGACTGAGTGTTCGACAGATACATAGGCTGAGAGGACAAGATGAAGTTGGGACTGAGGAAGACTAAAGAGTGGAGTGTTCGGCTTGGCTCTATCCCTAAAAGTGACTTTTTTTAACACTTTTATCCTACATGAAAGTGCCAGTTTATTAGAAAAACTAGCACTTATATTAGTGTCGGTTTTTTTATTTTTGAACCCATATGAGGGGTTGAAAAAGCATAGAAAGCCTTATATGTGCCGGTTTTGGATGAACCAACACATAGAAGGGCGTCCCCTATTAGGGATTTTGTAATAGTGTTTAATCTTTTTTGGCTTTGCAACGGTCTCAAATACATATATAATATAGCATGGCATAACGTGAAAACACAATAAACATGTGCAGTGTTGTTCTGTAAATATATTTATGAATACAACAATAGTTACTTCAAAAACCTCCAAATGATGTCAATCAACTATAATACTATAAATTGGACAATCTAAATTGCAAAGCATATGCAATGAATTTAAAGACTAATAATAGACTTCCTTTGGGGAGCGAATTATAGAGAGCTTGCAATTATAAAATAATCAGAATGTATGGCAAACATCAAAATCATTCGCAGATATCTACTCCTAAGATGGCAGCACACCAAAATCATTCGCAGATATCTACACCTAAGATGGCAGCCAAACAAGTAATCACATTCTTCGGAGCAGTCTTGTCATTATACACTCATGCCAGACAACCAAATCTGTGAAAATCAAGAGCGCATAGCTATGCTATACTAAAATCGAGGAAAAATCTTAGTACTGTTGACCATAGGCACATGACGAGAAAGAATAGAGTAAATTATATCTATTTTTACAGGGATGTTTACAACTTCCATGCGCAAGAATATACTGCATAAAAAATGGAGGAAAAGATATCCAAAAGGCATGCACAGTTGATGATGTTTGCAAGCCAATATCTATCATGAATATCACTGACACTGGTAAAAATAAATAACTTCAGCCATTTGAAAATATATGCAGTTACTTTCTTATTTTTAATGTAAGCACTCCCGTGCCAAAAGAAAAGGTTCCAAGTTGTAATCAAAATAGTAAAACTGATGATCAGATAAAACTTTATAAATCACCACCTAAAGATTTGAATTTATTTAAGTAACACCATATATGTAGGATTGAAATAGTTGTAAACACATAAGCATTTGTAAACGTTGAATAGCATTATTAAAATTCAATTTAACTTTGCCTCAACTCAAGTGCAATTGCAGTATGGCATGCAAACATCACCGAAAATTGCCATGCAAATATCACCGAAAACTGATCTAATACTAACATCTGTTGAGTTTTAATTTGATTTAGGTCATATCAAATATATTTGAGGTATGAATATCATTGGCCATAAAAAAAACAATCTGAAGACCATCAACAATTCTATCTGATCCCTACAGATATCTTACGAACATTTGTCTGAAATTTTTGTGTGCCTGAATCTTCCACTGTTACAGAGTTGCAGCCATTTCAACAAGCACACGGATGGCTACAATGGGTTCTACGTACTCTCTCAAGGATGATACAATGATATGAATAGAGACTACAATGGGTTCTAAGTACTTACCTTGGAGTTGGACCCCTTGCATCCTTTGCCCTCAAGTCCAATACCTCATCGAATGCCAGCAAGCACAACAGGATGCTTGTCGATCACTCGATCTGATTCTCTGTCACTGATCTTACTCTCAGCTTTGATTTAGAGCTTCTTCATCCTGTCCAAGAAGCTCTTCCCCTCCAGCTTGGAGGAGAAGAAGAGCTTCATAAACTCATCATGGCCTATGCTCCTGTAAACAGCCTCATGTTCATGCGCCACCATCTCCTTCAGAGGACCAATGACAGCATGGACACTTGGAGAATGGAAGGCTGCTATAGACAGCCGCTCTTTCTTCATGTCGACAACAGCTCGGTGCTCAGCACTTTTGTACCTCCCGTTTGTGAATATCTGTGCATGGATGCATGGGAAATCCATCAGCAACAGCAGACAGTGTAGTTTTAGTTTCAGTTTAGATCAAACAACTAGCAGGCAGCGTTGAGTAAAGAAATGTATATTATGCTACTACCTGAAGAATGTCTCCCACGTTGACAATGAAAGCGCCTTCCAAAGGCCTAACAGGAAACCAGGTCTCGTTTCTCTTGATCTGCAGGCCATCCACCTCATTCACTTGGAGGACAAGGGTCAATAGATCAGAGTCAGAGTGAGGAGAGAAGCCGATGACTTTGTCCGCCTGAACACACGGAGGGTAGTAGTTCATCCTCACCGCCTGGATCCCATCAGTGCCACATTTGTTCGCAATCACCTCTGGATCCACTCCCAAGTTGTTCGCCACTGTAACCAAGAGGAAATCCACTATGCTCTTCACAGCAGCAGAGTATTTGTCCAGTGCCGATCTAAATTAATCACACTCAGGTTTGCAGTTCATGTTGCAAAATAAACATCACCATCAGATCAAATCGGACTATGTACTTACCTGAATTTAGCAAGTTGGTTAGGCCAGAATCTGAAATTCCTGTTCTGCACTGGCAGCGTATTGAGGAAGAGAATGTCAGCCCAGTCGAGCTTCTGATCTTCCGAGACAACAAACAGCTGGCCATAACCATCAAGCTGCCCTCGCTCCTGAGCAAACTGCTTCTTGGTTTCCGCTGGCAGCTCAAAGAATCCCCGGGCGTTGGCCTTCATCCCATCAACCACATCTTCTGGGACGCTGTGATTTATTAGCTGCAAGCAAAAGAAGGCAACCAGTTCAATCATCAGTTGGCAGCATCAGATTAGCAGAATGTGTATTCAGAAGAAGTACAACTCCTAATTAACCTGGAAAAAGCCCCAGTCCTGGCAGGCCCTGTCAAGACGTGCCATCTCCTCGTCATGGCCGAGTTGCAGCCTCTGGAAGTCAATGACAGGGATCTCTGTCTCTCCATCAGTAGCAACTGCCTCGTCTCTCGGGCGGATGTACCTGGGTGGCACATGGGCACCACCGTCAGCCGCCACCATTGACTGAACACTCGGCACAGGGAGAGACTCCATCTCCTTTCCTTCAATCTGAGATGCTGGCTTGGATCCTTGCTCTCTGAAGATAAGTGGGTGGTAACATGGTGTCCGTCAAATAATTTAGTAATGTACTTTAGTTTTGAAAAGATTATACATAGTCAGGACTGATCAGCGGTGTTTAATTCTGCACCTATGCTAATTTCTGCATGGTACATATGTTCCTATCTTCTCTGTGTTGTTACAGATGAAACACATGACAGATCATGAGTCATCCATGTTTCTTCAGTGATTGGGAATGTAGGGTCTGTTTGGATTATAGCCCAAACAAACCATACCAGAAAACTTGGCAATAGCAAGGGAATTGGCATGCATTTCTATTGTTGCCAAAAAATAGTACATCATCTATAACATTCCACAAATTTTGGCCACAAACCAAACACCCACACTTCGCCAACTTTTTAGGATTGCCAAAATTTTAGCTTCCCAAATTTTATGGTAAGGTTCAAAATGGCAACAATCCAAACAAACCCGGAAGAGTGAAAGCAGCATTTTTCTTTGGAACCAGGAGCTAGCTGCATCGTACCAACTTGTAGATACAAGGTACACTTTTCAATTACCCAGCTTTTAAAATACAAACAAGTCCATGAGGTTTTACTGGTTACCATAGACAAAAAAGACAGGGAAAACAGATGCCAAACAATGCTGCCCCTTATAACAGCAACATAAACTGTAACCAAAGTACCAAAACTGAGACACGAATAGAAGCACCATCAAACACAAAGGTTTCTCCACGGTGCCACAGGGCTCAGGACAAAAGTTCAGGTACGGAGATGCCAATAGCGTGGATCCCATGTAGACAGCGGGACACCATTCTTTCGCATCCCCCCTAATGCAACAATTTTGATATCTGTGAAACTGGCACTTGTAATATATTGCTGTTTGGTGGATTTTGGATTTCCACCCAAATTTGTAGCTACCGATGACGACTTAATGTGCTTCCAAACTAATTCCATTTCGTACTGATGACAACAATTTTTAGCTGACGTCACAACAGGTTTCTGAATCAGCTCCACAGATGGAAATTCGAAGCGGTTTAACTGAAAAACTAGGACATGTTCAACAGAGATTTTCCCAAGTATGAAATTAGGGATTTTTTACCTTGATTTCAATCTCCTCCAACGGCGCCTAACAGGCTCACCGAGACAACGATCGACCGCCGTTGGCCTTCTGGCTAGCTCTCAGGAACAATGCGGCGCGCTCCCGCGCGCCCCCGCTAGGGTTAGCTACCTCACTGCTATGCTTGCCCTGTCACCTTCGTCTTCGCTCGTTGACCCGCTGGCGGCTGCGACCGAACTAGTGGGCATTTGGGCTTGACACATAAGAAAGGCGCACAAAGGCCTGTACCCTAGTACTACTTGGTAAATTGAGCATCACCAACAGTCTACTGATCCATTCCCAATCCTTTTTTTTTATTTTGGCCCAAGATTATGTTCCAACAGTCTCGGCTGCGTTTGTTAGGGGAGAATGGAACTTACACACGAAAAACACAATAGTCAATTAGCGCGTAATTAATTAAGTATTAGCTATTCTTTTTCAAAATAGATCAATATAATTTTTTTAAACAACTTTCATATAGAAAAATTTTATAAAACCACACCGTTTAACAGTTTAAAAAGCGTGCGCGCGGAAAACGAGAGGAGAGTGCTGGGAACTTGCTTTTGCAAATAAAGCCTCTAGAGTTCCTAACCTTTTGGAGTTCCCATCTCCTTGATTCTCACTCTCATTTGAGGGCGTGGCCTCCCTCCCAAATCCCAATCCATCCCCCCATCCCAACTCCTGCCCAGCGGTTCCTCACGAGAGATCTGCGTAGCATCGGGGCAGGGAGCATGTGGACTGAGTTTTGTGTGCATGAGAAATTCTTTTCTAAAGGACAGGAGCATTTCTTTTTTGCATGGGGACGATGGGAAAACAAAGATTTCGGTAGGTAGTTTAATAGAAGGGCCCACTTTTAGTTTTTAAAATTAAATTTAGGCTTTCTCTTGGAGAGAGAAGTTTTTTTCACTTCCTATTATCAATTTGGTAAACCCAATAACAAAATTGTAGGGGTGGATTGTTCACATTCTATTAAAGCATCTCTAACAATATCTCTAAATCCGACTCTCCAAATATCCATTTGGCTAATTTTTCATCTAATTTGGCAGGTCAAACTCGTTTACTCCAACAGCCTCTCCATTCTAAGTCTATGATAGTGGGACCCACATGTCAACCTCTAAAACCCTTTCTTCTTCCTCATCTTTCTTCCCCATTTTCCCTAATCCCCTCTTTACCCTCTCCGTCGGACGAAGATGGTGACGACGGACAACATATGGCGACGGCAACAACAGATTCACTCCTCGCCGGCCTCGTCCTCCTCGACAGTCATGCGCCGTCGAGCCTCCCTCGCTATCGCGCCCACCCCCCTCACCATTGTGCCACCTCCACTCCGATCATTACGCCGGCCGAGGTGGCCTCCTCCGCTCCGCTCATCTCCCATCTTGCCGACTGAGGCACTCGACCCGACGGCGACGAAGCCAAGGCATTCTTTCCCGGCGGTGGCAGCGAACATGGGTGGATGATGCAAGCGAGCGACGGCGGACAACAGTGAGGCTATGGTGGCGACGAAGCCGAGGCGTGCCTTCTTCCCCATGGCGGCGGCGAGCATGGGCGGAGGGAGGAAGGCGCGGTAGCGATAGGCGAAGGAAGGGAGTGCACGGGTAGGAGGATGGTGCGGTCCATGCGGATGGTGGGGAGAGAGGGGAAAGAAATGGTAGGGCCCACAGATGGCCAGTGGCATGAGGGTAGCCAATGGCTGGTCAAATTTGGCCAGCTCGAGCCCATGTTTGGCTAGTGCTATTTTTTGGCATGTGGGATGGCCATTCTGTTGGAGTACATTTTTGTTCAAAGTTGCTAAATTTAGCTTTGAGAGTGGGATGGAAAGGCTGTTGGAGATGCTCTTATTAAACATATGCTCTCTCCATCTCAAATTATGGGAATGATTAGGGTAGCTTCAGTTTCTGATAGAATCTTTAGCTTCCAAACAATTTAAATTTTTATTGGGATTCTAAGAATTTGTAGTCATAGAATCTAGAAAATAAAATGAAAGTCGGAAGCTGACCAACAGATTTCTCATAATTTTAAGCTCTCTTAAATAGGTAGCATATATTTTATGACTGATGGAGTATAAATTACTTTGTAAGCTCCCTAAACTTTCATCACTTTGCACCGTAAGTTACTTTGGCAAATCGAAAATGTTCATTTGGCAGACATTATGTAAATCATGTCGACATGGTTTGCGCTTTGCGGTTGCCTAGGCAGACAACACTAACATTTTGAACTTGTAGGCGATAGAGTCGTGGTGTATGACAGCGTGTCTTTCATCATGATCAAAATCATTAAATCAAGTTCAAAATTCAAAATACAATCAATAGAATTAAATGAGGTCAGAGAGTTATAGTTAGAGCAAAACTAATAATACAGCCGATGTGTTGGCTATAAGGTTATTGATAGCCTTCTCTTAGTCATCTCATATAATAGTTAGTTTTTTACCATTAATATAGGGTCTACTTGTCTCTCTCACAGAGTTTCTTGGTTCTTATGTTCAAGCCGGCTGTAAGTTTACAGCCAGCTTCTCCTCTTTCTCCTCTTTTCTCTCCTCCACCTCAGCATTTAGTCGGCTTATAGCCTACTATTATACTTGCTCTTAGAGAGAATCCATTGTGTTGTGTGTCACTAACTTTGTCCCTATTCTACAATATACCACTGAACTTATCGAGTACTACAATATGCTACTGCATTTTGCTGAACATAATATACTATCGTCGTTCGGTTAGCCTCTGTTAGTACTATAAAATTTTATCCTAATGACCAAAATATCCCTAAAGTGAAATTTTTCAAAATTTGACAAAAAAAATCTGAAATATCATATTGTAAACTAGAACAGAAGTTGTGCATCTCAAACTTTAGAAGTTTTACAATCTGATATGCGAAATCTTTTACAAAAATTTGGAAGATCTCATCCCAGGAGTATTTTGGTCGTTAGGACAAAATTATATAGTACTACCGAAGGCTAACGCAGACACTCACCCCTATGAACGTACGCACGTAAACCCTACCCCTATGAACATCTTCGAAAACTGGGCCGGCAAATCCTTGAGATTAACGAAGTCACCACAGGCACGCGTCTCGTTGTTGACGGCTACGTCGCCTATCACTGAAAGTATAATGCCGTTAAATCTAAAAAAATCGCTCCCATAAACTTTACTCTCATAACAAATAACAATTATTATTAATGACTAAACCAAGTCGCATAGAGCCTCTCCAGATTTGTTTGTTATTGAATGGTTTGTTCTGTCAAACCAAGGCCGGCTACCTATGCGGCTAACCGTGACCAAAACTAACAAGTTTCCTATATAGTATTTAATTAAGTAGAATAATCGGGGAAAATGGTATTCTCCTGCTTGTGGGCCCAACAGGGAAATGCGTGAACTATCAAGAAAGGTCACGACTCACGAGTCTAGAGGGGTTTAGTACTTTTCAAATGAACAGAAGGCTACAAATTACAAAAATATATGACTGTAGTACAGAATACAATACAATATGACTGGCATGAACTTGGTGTTCCAGATAGATCAGGATGATTGTTTATCGGAAACGATCCAATCATGCATGATAATTGATTGGGCCACAGAAACATTTTGGACCATATATTTGCTGCATGCATCGAAGATTAGAAAGCATCCTACACTGTGTAAGATATTTATCGTACGTATAGCACTGCTCCATACTCCATCTGTTCTAAATTATAATACCTATATTTGTTTTGACACGATCTTCAATAACATACTTTGACTAGTATTTTATTCTATTCTTTGATCCCAACAAATATGAAATTAGCATCACAAAATATTGATCTAGTGATATAACATGTATAATACTTAGTATAGATTTAGTTAGTATGATTATTAGTAAAAAGCTACCGAATTTGATTTTTCTTAAAAAGGGGGCGTCCTATAATTTGGGATGGAGGGAGTTTTTTTAAGAATTACACAGTACAATGCATACACTCACAACACACGTGCACTCGCCCCTATGAACGCACGCACGTAAATCCTACCCCTATGAGCATCTCCGAAGACTGGGCCGACAAATCCTTGAGAATGACGAAGTCACCACAAGCGCCTCGCTGTCTACGCACTACTACATAACTCATTTTCCCGTGCGGGCATATCCATTTTTCCATACGGTACTTTGGCCCGCCTGCACCCAGCTGTCTGCGAAAATCAGTATTTTCCTATGCGGGCGGGCCGACCGCACAGGATAATCGATTATCCCATACAGTCATATTATACCACCCGCACGGAAACAAAAAAAACAAAAATAAAAAAAAACAAAAATCGCCGCCCGCCCGCCGGCCCGCACGCCACCGGCCGCCGCAACTCGTCGTCGCGCCGCCGCGACCAGCCATGGCAACCCAGTCGCGTCGCTGTTGAGCCCGCCCGCCGCCGCCCCTCATCGCCGCGGGGGACGGCCGCCGCCATCGGATCCGAGCGGGGGACAGCCACCGCCGCCGGATCCGGGCGCGCGGGGGACGGCGGCCGCTGTCGTCGCCACCACAGTTGCGACGGCCGCCACCACTGCCAGATCCATGCAGGGGACGGCCACCACCGCCGGATCCAGACGCGAGGGGGCCGGTTGCCGTTGCCCCTCAACGCCGTGCACGGTTGCTGCCGCCTCGCCTCGTCGACATGCAGCAAAAGTCGGGAGAGGAGAGGAGTGAAAGTCGGGAGAGGAGACGAGAGGAAGTGAGAGAGATAGAGGGGAGTAAAGTGAAAATAAAAGGGAAGAGAGAGAGGAGGTTTGAACATTTTGAAATGAGTAAGGGAGAGGAGGTGTGAAAATTTTAAAATGAGTGAGGGAGAGGAGGTGTGAAAATTTTGAAGTGAGTGGAAGGGAGATGTATTTTCGCGTGTAGTCGGCTTACGTCACCTACCACTGAAAATTCGCTCACATAAGGAGTCGAATCCAGAATCTCAGGTGCTACTGAGGTGGCTCTTGTAACCACAAATCTATAAGCCCTTTCGCAGGACGGAGGGAGTAACTGCACCCCGCAGCTACCTTGTGTCTCTGCTTGGTTTTTAGCAATTGCGACGCAGCCGAAGCCAAGGCATTCGTACAGTATGGTATTTGTAAACAGGATAATTAACCATTACACTTTATTTTATTAGTTTTTAGGAAAGCATTATGCTTTATTTGACATAGGAAAACATTTTCCAATTACAGGTTGATGAAGGGTAAGTTCCTTTTATTTAACGAAAGGATGCAAAATAGACGGAAAGCTATCTGAAATGTATCAAAGTGAACTAACTCCCAATTTCGAGAACGCTTACTTTATTTGTCTTAAGTTGTATTTTCTTCTGTGTGTATCATTGCTTAAGATGAAATACTTATCCTGAGTTGGGAATATTTAAGATATTGTAGAGCTTTAGCAGAATTTGTCAAGTCTCCTGAACGTGTAACATATCTGATCACCACTTTCGTGTGGTTTGACGAGCACATCTTAAGCTGAAGTTCACTGGCATGCTAAAGTCCCAGCAATCTCTCACATGTTTACTACTCGAGGCTTCGGAATTTTTTAGTACCATATAAAACTGAAGGGAATAATTTTAGGCCCCTTTGATTCAAAGGAAATTCATAAAAATTTTAGAGAATTTTTTCCTATATAGCCATTTGAATCAAAGTAATAAATCCTATGAAATCCTATAAAATTCCTATGGAATGCCTCTTCCCATGTAAATTTTCAAGACTTCATGGAAAAAATCCTTTGAGGGCCTGTTTAGATCCCACCCTAAAATTTTACACCCTGTCACATTGAACGTTTGAACATTTGCATGAAGTATTAAATATAGGCTAAAAAATAACTAATTGTACAAATTGCGACTATTTTACGAGACGAATCTTTTAAGCCTAATTGCTTCATGATTCGACAATGTGGTGCTACAGTAACCATGTGCTAATGATGGATTAATTAGGCTTAATAAATTCGTCTCACAGTTTACTGATGGATACTGTAATTGGTTTTTTTATTAGTGCCCGAACACCCCATGCGACACTCTATATAATACCCGATGTGACATGTCAAAACTTTACACCCCTGAATCTTTATCTCTTGAATTCCTCTGTTTTTTCTACGGCCCAATCAAGCGATCATTCATATCTCTGTTTTACACTTACATTCCTGTAAAATCCAATGTCTTTTCTATTTCTCCTTTTTTTCATTCCTATGATTCAAGGGCCGTTAGTGATGACATTAGACTTACCAGTATGTTATTTAGTTTGAAGAGTTTATCGCTTTGTTCCATGAACTTCATATGTTCACAATTGTTATTGAAATCTATTTCATGGTCATCACAAAAGGTATATTTAAAATAATTCAGGCTATACATGAATCTAAAGAGACACCCTATCTAGATGTACTAGTGTTTGATCCAACAAAAATACCTTATATTTCGGCATGGAGGGAATAATAAATATAAAAAAGGGCATATAATTATAGGAAAAAAATTAATCCTTACATTCCATTGGCTATGTTTATGTAGAAGCTAAAACTAGCAATACTATTTGGCGCAAACGCGCGAGTAGATTAAGTCACGCGTACGGCCAGTCAATGCACATACATTTTCTTTCATTTGAGAAGTATTTATCTTTTTTAAATTAGGGCACGTGTTACGGAGTACGATTCTGATTAATGTCTTTTTTAAAGATTACCGCTATAATTATAATTTTGTGTTATCACTTCTGATTTATGCATTTTTTTAAAAAAAATAGTTTTATTAGCGTTTGTAATTTTTTTTCAAAAAAAGTTTTTAACATTATTTTTCTTTGCCAAATCAAATTTAAAAATTTGTAAACTCTACCAAAATATAAAACTTCCAACTCAATTTTTGAAACATTCGCCTCCAAATTTGAAACTTTCAACTCAACTTTTAAAACTTTCTACTCATATTTGAAAACATTCAAATCAAAATTTAAAATTTTCAACTCATCTTCGAAAACACTAAACTCAAAATTTAAAACATTCAAATCATACTTGAAAACTTTATACTCAAATTTTAAAAATTTTAGTTGATGTTTTAAAAACACTCTGCCCAAATCTTAAAACTTTTAGCTTGAAATTCGAAACTAAGTATTGATTAATTAAAATTTTAAATTGTTTAAGTAAAATTTGAAAACTTTTAGGTCAATTTTCAAAACTATCAATTCATATTATAAAATTCAAACCAACTATTTATTTATCATTTTATTCAAAAAATAGGTTAGCATTAAACAAAAGGATTAAGGCTATTTGTTAGAGATTACCACTAGGCTCGACGGGGGAGACACAGGCGCCCGTTCGTGTCTACGCCACTTCCTCCGCTAGCGCACATGCGTGTATTAGGCCCTGTTTGTTTTAGCTTAAGATTATTGTAATCTAGATTATTAAATCATATTACTATAAGTTGGATTATAATAAGTTGATATAGAATAAATTGTGAGCTATTTGTTTTTCTAGATTATTGAAGGCATCTAAGGTAGTGGATCTTTAGCCATGCAATAATTTGAAAAAAGCTCCTCCATAGGAGATTATTAGATTATACTAATCTGGCTTATAGATTATAATAATCTATCAAAATAATATACTTATTTGTTTCAGCTTACTCTTAATAATCCAGATTAATCCTAAGCTAAATCAAACAAGGCCTTAGGTGCCCCCAGGTGAAACTACCCGCTTCAAATTAATTCTAAACCTACGGGAAATTTGGTCCTTTTGTGTGCCTCACCAACAAAATAATAATGCCAACAGTATAAATTAGGGGGTAAAAAACAAGTTCATCGATGGTGTACATTGGAACACGACTTTACTGGTGAGCTATTGTGGAACTTGGACTTTGTTCATTACTTCATTGGTATATAACATATTTTCTTTTGTTTTTTTTGTCACAACTAGGTGGAATAGGTAGATTTCCTTTTTCTTTTCTTTTCTTCTTTTCCTCTTGTTGCACGGCAACAAGCTGGCATTGTTATCCTTCTTTCGTCCTTGTTATTTTCCCCTTAAAATGGTCAATAACAAAACTATATGTCCACCGGAGTATGAGTGTGTGTGTGTGTTCTCGTAGCATGTCACCCTTAATTTTGACAAATTGACACATGGCGCTAAGCTCCTCTTAACTTGCTAATTTGTGCCACTAATTTATGAAACTAGTTTTTATACGGTCTATTCTTGAAATAAATTTTATAGAAGGGTCAATTTGTCAAAATTAGGCCACTGTTTGTAGCATTCTACGAGTATAAATAGACCCTTCCCTTGTCCTCAAAACACACAACGGAATCAAGATCTAAGTAGTATATCCTCAGCTCCATTACACTTCTCCCACTGAGAGGTGTAGCCATGGCCTACTATGCAATCGCTCCTCTTCTGTGAACACTCATGCACAATGAGCTTTACATGCATCTATACATCAATCAAACTATTTCTGGACCAAACCCTAACCAATTAGTAGTGGTAAATGGAAGCCAGCAGGCGCCTCTATTTTTTGGTTTAACTGCCATCAGCGATTGGACTATACTCGATGGTCCTGGGCCGAATGCAAGTGTCGTCGGACGTGCGCAAGGTATGCACTTCCAATCAGGTCATATAAGGGAAAAGTGGTACACATCCATGAACTTCTTGTTCGAGGATACCAGGTAATTAATGTGCTCTTTCTTTTCTAATATGACAATTACATGCATAGTTCCTTGCAAACAATATGTAATGCATGCAAGTTAGTTGGAATTGTTTTTTCTAGCTACATATAGCAGTTACTGACACAAATAATTTTCATTTTCAATGAAATATTCTTTCCAGATAATCTAATTTTGCATATGTATGAATGTGTGTTTGCGCGCGCGCGCACTCTAGGTTCAACGGGTCCATGCTTCAGGTGATGGGGACTACTCCACAAGATGATCAGTGGGCTATTCTTGGAGGGACTGGAGAATTTGTTGCCGCAGAGGGTATTGTCGAACACAAGATAGTCCAGGTAGATTGTACCGGGAGGATTTATGAAATCAAAATCCATGCCTTCTACATTCCAATGAACTCATCGGCGGTAAGTAGCTAGAATATATATATATATATATATATATATATATATATATATATATATATATATATATATATATATATATATATATATATATATATATATATATATATCCCCTTGAAGTGATGTAGTTTCGATGCACTTGAAGTGATATAAATTCCGTGGTATTTCGTTGCTCAGAAAATTGGATGTTCCCACTACATCTTGTTTGGTTCTATGGGCTAATTATTAGCCCCCACCTTTTAGCCCTAAATTAGCCCCAATGATCTAAACAGGTGGTCTAATTTGAGGCTAAAATGAATTAGCCCTCCTCGTAACATTAGCCCCTCCAAGTAATGCTAATAGGGCTAATTTTATGTGGGAACCATAAAAAAACAGCCATATCTCCTCTCTACTCTTTCTCCATCTTTTAGCCCTAAATTAGTCCATGATCTAAACATATCACTCTAAACTAATGTTTAGCGTACCAATTCATGACTAAACATTAGCTCTCAAAATTAACCCTGGCCTAATCTTCTAAATAGGGCTAAGAATGACGACACTCTGAGATTTCCACTGTAAAGGTTGTACTAGTAGTACTAATGCCACTCCAAACATATCCAATTATTGGATGTTTCCCACTATTTTCATTACTTAATAATTTATGACCATTTAGATGGGTTGGGGTAAAATCATCATCTCTGCAGATATTAGGGAAAAAGTACAAAATATGGTAAGGAATAATAAATTAATTAAAATATAAAAACTAAAGATGATTTTGCCGGTACTTTGGTACGTCATCCGTGTATGAGTCGGATTTTCAATTCGTTCGCTTTTGGAAACACAAATCCTTATTTGACTTGATTTTTAAGTTTGTTCGATTTTGGAAATACAGAAGAAATCGTATAAGAAATGCAACGCACAGGTATTTTTCTAGTTAATTAAAATTATAAGAGTGGCAAATATTCGGCTGGATATCTTTTGAGTGGAAAACACCTCATTTTCGCTTCAGTTATTTGATAAAACATTATTTTAATTCTATATATGCCAAGAGATTGCAAGCATTTAAAGTTTGGTGTGTTTTGGACAACTTTATGTCTCCTGTTATGACCATTATGTTCTTTTTTTCCTACCAACACGTTGTACAATTGAAACTACATCAACTGCATATACCATTTTTTAGAATTTTTGATGATATTTATTAGTTGGTGTGCATGAAATGTGTATCGGAAGCTTATGCACACGGGATATGTTTCCCTCTTAAATAGCATCATATTCAGATATATATGTAGCTAAATAATTATTAGTTTCATTTTATTTATCATTTACTAGGGATGGATTTCAACGTTCCATAATTTAATGCACAGCCACAAATTAAGCTAACTATTTATATCATTCTTTACATAGGCCAGACTGCCAGAGGTGTAAAATATGTTTTTCATTACTAACAAATATTTCTTAACTTACGCAGACTAATTGTAATTCTTGGAAGCTTGGAGCTTAACAAGTGCATGCATGGTGCGATGCAGATGAAGGCTCGTCACGCTAAACGATCATTCAGTTTAATACCATTTGGCTGTTTGCCTGTTTGGCATGATGTTTGTTCCCTATTTAAATAAGTTTGAGTTTGTATGCTGAACTACAACTCTACAAGCCATATTTGTGTGTTTCATGCTTTCTGGTTGCTTATCACTTTATGTTTGTCGTTTGAAGTCATGTTCTCTCTGTGTTGTATTGATGAAAAGCCTCAAAGGCAGCTATGGATATGGTTTGCATATTTCTCACCTATGTTTATGAATATAGGAGCGAGCTGTTTTCTAGATAATCAAAGTGGCCATCATTTATTGGTGCTTTGTCCTGTTTCTGTACCTCTTGATATATGTGTGGAAAAATCTAATTGTTGTGTTTTGGTGTTTTCTTATGTCTTACATCGACCCTCTCATGGGATATATATAGGAGTACATAGGGGATAGAGACTTGGAGTACAATACAAGTAAGAGTAGATTTATCTCTAGGATTCTATCTCTAGGACTCTATCTTATCTCTAGGATTCTATCTCTAGGATATATCTTATCTCTATATTTGAATTTGACTCTTATCTATAACTAACATATTATACTTCTAACATTCCCCTCAGTCGTAATGGGAGCGAAGCGAACGATTGCGACTGGATTTGAAATCTTCTATTTCTTCATCTTCTTCGAGTTACCATCATCGATTGCATCTCTAATGGACGGTCCTCCACCTGGTGCATGCGTCCCCTTCTGTGTCGTCCCTTGACTCTCCTCTATTCCCTCCCGCAGTTATAGCGGGAGTGTCATGGACGATAGCGATGACACGGACGCTTGGACTGGAGTTACCGTAGATGATTCTTGTTGTAGACATTCGTCGATGTAGCCGATCATGTAGTAGCCGTGGTCGTGGTAGTTACAGTAGTTGATGTAGCCGCAAATAGCCGAAGGCGAAAAAAAAATATTTACGCCATGGTGTGAAGAGAAAACTGCAATTGTGAGCATCTTGCACCCTGTAGATGTCAGAGGATGCCATTGGAGACGTCTTGTATATGTTAGAGGACGTCGTTGGTGATGAGGCCACCACTTTGGTTGGTCCTTTCGCGCCGTGTAGCAATCATCACAAAAGTGATGCCGAGTTGATGCAGTCGTTGTCGTCGTAGATGACGTGATCGACGCCGTCGTCGGTGACGCGGTCGTTGCCGTCGTAAAGGACACGGTCGATATCGTCGATAAAGCGGCTTGTAGATTAATCTATCATAGGACGCGGGATGTCCATCCTTGTGAACGAGCGGCGGCGGCGTGTTCCCTTGTTGAAGAAGACCATCGGCGATGTTGTGTCGGAGAAGACCATCGTGGTGATGATGTAGAGGTAGCAGATACGGATCGATCTCGTCGGTGACGTACGTCTGTAGAAGCTTGGTGAAGTCGATCGTCGTGGAGGTCTCGCCGGCTTGACGTGGGTTGTTCATGGCTGACTTCCGTGGCGAAGCTGGTCGACGAAGAGATACGTGGTGATGATTATGCAATGATGACATGATGATGATGTAACTGTGACATCGTGGCCGGAGAGAACGTCCTCGTTCTCCTGAATCTTGGATCGATCTCCAATTCCAATGAACGTGGATCACCATAGGGTTTTATTTGTCCGTGACTAATAGGAATTGATCTAATGCTAACATTGCTAAAATCTAATCTATAGATAATTTGTGGAGCTAAGAGATGCGGCGCCCCAGGGAGATTACATGATTGATCTCATCTCCCCAGGGCGACGCAGGAATCGAACGACGTTGATCTCTAAGGCTTTGATACCATGTGGAAAAATCTAATTGTTGTATTTTGGTGTTTTCTTATGTCTTACATCGACCCTCTTATGGAGTATATATAGGAGTACATAGCGGACAGAGACTTGGAGTACAATACAAGAGTAGATTTATCTCTAGGATTCTATCTTTAGGACTTTATCTTATCTCTAGTATTCTATCTCTAGGATATATCTTATCTCTATATTTATATTTAACTCTTATCTCTAACTAACATATTATACTTCTAACAATATGTAGTGTTTATCATTGCTTGATTATGGCATTTCATCAAACGTTATCTAGTTTGCACTAGCTTAACCAAGATAAGTGCTGAACTGACCAACGATCATGATGTTGCAAATTTTGGTCCCCAATGCCAACTAGAGGCTCTTCAAGTTGGGACCAACAACTGTGCCATTTTCTGTTTAAACTTTTAAATGCGTACATGTCCTAAGGAAGGCATCTAAAGAATGTTAGATTTTGTGAATACGGGACAGTGGCAACGAACAGAACATTGATCAACAGAACAATTGTCAAATTGCATTGATGATTTTGGAGGTAAGCTGGTGCGCAGGTTAGTCCTATTTTGAACTGTTGGACTGATGATTTATCACAGCAAAGCCTGAATTTCAGACTAAACATTTCCACATAAGGTCAACAAAAACCATGCAACCACACATTAGTAAGAGTGAGAAGGAAGTTGCATCAGAGACAGTGGTAAATATACATCGACTGGTAAAAATAAAAATAACACTATAATTAGTGTAATATTAGTGTCGGTGATGAATCATCAAACAAAAAAGTCGCTATGTAGCTACTTGATAGCTCTTCCAAGTTCCAACATATTTAAGCGTGAATGTCTATTTTTAAGCATTGTTATGCAGCTCCTAATGTAATAAAAAAATATGCAGCTATGCACACAAATATTTTTTTCACGAAGACAGTAATTGATCAACAATAAAGACGATATGCAATGGAATCTTCCAAGACATGCTCAATAAACTGATGTATTCATGCACTGGCAAGGTAAACACCCCCATTTTAAGGAATAAAGTATGTAGTATTAGTACCATGACCATGTGCCTCTACCCAAAGAATGAAACTCACTTGTAAAGAGTAAAGAACTCATCGGAATCAGATAACGTTTCGTTTCACCCTACAGAAATTTTGAAACATAAACAGTATTGTGTCACAATAGTTGAAGGACAGTTTACACGATAAGACACAATAAAACAGCAAATGAACGAGGGCCATGGGGATGTAAAAATATTATGATGTTGAGGGGCATAGGCTATACTTGTATGACCTTTCAAGCAGAATCACCATACTTCCCAATGTGGCCAGCAACCAAGGGATTAATAACTAGCAGGTCTTAACTAACTAAATTTGTTTAGTCCAAATAAATATTAAGGAGAGACTTGATGACCATGCAATGTTAATTACCCAATTCACATGATAAGCTTCAGAACATCTACACCAGTCCTATGAGTCTATAACTATAAGCAGTTATCGATGGACAGATTACCCCTGTTAGACTACAGAATATGGGTAGTTAAGCAATATATAGTATACCATCTATTTTATGAAGGCATCACCAATTCACCATGGCAACCAGGCAGTCTCCTAAGTTCCTCAAACCAGCCAGTCACCACAGGACCCCTGCAGCCTCGTTCGTCGACCACCGTACCCTCCCTGCTCCAGATCTGGAGGGAAAAGCACTGAACCTCCCAGTTATCTCCTTATCTCCTCCACCTCTGCTCTTCTCTTCTTTGCCCCCTGCGCCGATCTGCCTCTCTTTAACTCTTTGTCCTCTTCCCCTGCTCTGCTCTTCTTACTCCTCTGCTTGTTCTTCCTCCAGGTTCTACTCTTCTCCCTTCTTTGCTCTGCACTGTGGGCAACTGGCTGTGGGAGAATCAGAGAAGGGAATTAATTTACAAGAGGATTCAATGGGCTCTGGTCACATCCAAGATGGGGTTTTGAGCTATGTAGAAAGTTTGGGATGAATGAACGAGTAGAAACCCATCTATCATTGTTTTTTATTCTCGCTGTGATATGTTAAGGGTTGATTTGACTACATTGTGCCACTGTCTAAGCATGGCGTCCAGGCATCCCGACACCCCTCTAGGTCCCCTTGGCCTGCCTTGTGGTCCATGGCAACTTAGTAGCCATGCATTACATATCTACGTGTCTTCACTAATAGTTTTCCAACAATGAATTAGGGAAGAGAAGACGAAGTACAGAACATTACCGTCTTGTATAAACTAAACATACTCTAAAACCTATCATGGAGATTAACCATGCAAATTATGTTTCACATAGTCTCGCATGGCTGATAGCGCTTGAAATGTTGGTACACGTTGCAACAGAATTGTCTAGACTTGATTATGAGGCAGTACAGGTGAAATTTCAATAAGCAAAAACATAAACCAAAATAAGTGTCTCTAGCTTGACTGGACAACTTTATATGCATCTATTTAGATTTGTTCAGAAATTTAAAAAGCAACACAAAGTTATTGGTTGTCTTCTAGTAACATATAAGGCTACTGTATAAAATATTCCCTTGGTAACATATTAGCGCTGTTAATTCATTGCTAGTATCAACTCTCAACCACATGTCAATACACTCACGCAGTCCACACTGTTTGTTGACCATAATAATAATAAAAATGTTCGGGGGCCAAAACCCCTAATGAAACGCAACTAAAAGAAATTAGTACCATCTGTGAAATTATTTTCTTAAACATTGCCAGATAAAGTTCACTTCACTTATTTGTTGATCATAACAGTAAGAAGTTGTTTGGACCTCAATACCCATATAGAAGACAATAAAAAGGAATTTAATGTTGGAAGCAAAGGGCACCTTAGAGGTGCATTCTTTGCAAAGGCATATAATTACTCACCCTGTCCTGTAATATGTCATAATCAATATACATCTTCAAACTGATAATACTATTACCATGTCACAGCAGAAAGTTGACAATAGATTACTAGTTATAGAATTATATTGCCATAACTACATATGATATATTCTAACTTCCAAGCAGCATTAAGCTACAAACAAAATAAACTTTAACTTCAGCTATCGTAAGTTTATCAGAAGTTACAAACAGAGGAATGTTAGCTATACCAAAGAACTGGAGGGCAAAGAAGAAAATGTTTCCTACTTTCCAAGGTAAAAATATGCATATTGATCATAGCAAGCACTTCATCTCATTGATGCAACATGGTTACTATGAACAATGGAAGGTAAAGAATGATAATAATATATCTTGATTATACAGTAAATGAGTTAAAGAATTAACACTGCAATATCAACACATATGAAGCAGGCACTCTAACATTAGCAAAATTACAGTATATTGAAAAATGGTGATTTTAATATGAATAATGCACACCAAATGCAGGCTAAATTACATGAAAACATGAGAAGGTGAAAGGCAAAGAACATATATTATCTTACTGCAGAGGAGAGGACTAGCAACTCTAGCTGGCTTCTCTGAGCCTTTTGATGAGAGTATCAAGAGATTTCTTCTTCGGATTTTGCCTAGCACCCCTAGTTCCAAATGTTGAGAAATAGCTCTCTGAGGAATCCCGAAACTTCTCTGATATGGCTGCCACCTTTTTGTAATCAAGCTTGTTATAGCTCTTCTCACGGATCACTGGATTAAGGAAATTCTCTGGGCTGTTGCTCATAAGAAGATTCACTAGCTGTCTCGCCTCCACAAGTGCAGCCTTCATTTCATTTGCTGCAGACTCTTGATCAGAGTCCACAAACAAACTGGACATGCTCTCCCCAAACGCCTCGAACATTTTGAGATCGGTATCAATTCCGGTGACTGCACTAGCATTAAACCGCTTGACTGAATCATTCAAGAAGAGCCCGACAATCCTCTCAGAGATGTGGGCAAGCACTGCCACAAGGACACGGCGGAGCACCGGAAGAGGGAGGATCTGCTGTGCAGTTGAAGTGAGTGTCTCGAGATAGATAATGACCTCGTTTGCATACTCATTTCCACCAGCTGGTGGATCATCAGCCATCCAAGTGACACCATCAGATTGCCCCATGAACTCATCAACCTTGGAACGTAGAAGCCGTAGTAAAAGTGCCTCTGCAGCATCACGGGACTTGCGAAGTGGGAAGTCACGCCGCCCACGCTCCACTGCACGAAGTGGCACACCACACAGTTGCGCTGCATGGCCTGTGAAAAACTCACACGCACGCTCCATAACAGACATATTTGCAGCAACTTGCATTGCCTGGGACACACTCAGACCACCACCAGAATCCACGAGCTTTTGTATCGATGCATCAACCACCTCCGAGAGAATCCGACCAAGGTACTTCTTCACGGCTGCATAAGTGTCCCCACCACCCCCATGTGCCATGAAGCTTACAGAATCCTCGATGAATGACCGAACTATGCGGCAAATATCTGGCACGGTGCATGAGAATGGAGCAACATACGGGAACGCTGGGGTGATATCCGAGCTTTGGATCCCAAATGCAAGCACGTTCATTGAGTATTCATACTCTTTCCTCATCAGCATCTGATCAAACTTATCTGCAGCCAGTGCCTCTACCACCTGCCTACGGCAATCAGCAAGTAGCAAGTCATGGTACTTGTCCCGGTGCCTAGCCAGCACATCGAGCAGCATCCCAACTGGATAACCATACCGCCTCATCGTGGCAGAAAGTAAAGCAGCATAATCAGTTATCAGAAGCAGGTGATTTGCTGTCTGCATGCGAGAGAAGTTGTCCTCCATTACAGAGACCATCTTTGCAACAGCAGAATCCCACAATGCATCTACATCAGGCCGGGACGTGAGCCCACCCCCTGTCCGAAACACGCGGTCCTCGACAATGAAGAAACCAGCAATCTGCGAGAAGAACACCTGGTGAGACTCGAGGAACGGTGTTGCTGCAATCACATCGAAATCCGATGTCAGCTGAAGCTTCCTGTTCTCCAGGTAATACTTCTTGAACCGCTCGCCAAGTGCCAGGGTATGGTGTATATGCATCGCGCGGTAGAGTGGCGTGAGGTCGAATGATGCTGCAGCGGCACCATCTGCAACGTCTGCTGTTGCGGCGGCAGCTGCGAAGTCATCAAGGTCGCCGACGCCATCGTCGTCCAGCGTTATGCACTCCTCCAGCGGGCGGTGCTTGGATCGGAGCTCCTCCTGGCGCTGCCTGGCGGCAGCTGAGCGGCCAATGGCTACCTGGCCAAGGTGCCGCGACGCGGCGCGGATGCTAACCATCCAATCGGAGAACTCCCTGGAGATCTCGCGCTCGGCGTGGGCGCGCACCGCGGGGACGAGGCTGAGCAACATGCGGCGGAGGGTGGGGAGCGGCAGCGGCTCGGGGCCGGAGGCGAGGTCGCGGTCAATGGCATCGACGGCGCGCAGGGCGAGGTACAGGTTGTGGTTGCCGCCCTGCAGGTGCGCGTTGGCGCGGTTGGCGAGCGCCAGGAGGCGGACGCAGCGTCGGGAGGATGCGAGCGCGGAGGAGAGGTTCCCGGCGAGCCCGCGCGCGGCGAGGAAGGACTCGAGCGAGGCGAGAAGCGGGGCGGCGGAGGAGAGGAGCGCGGCGTGGGAGGCCGAGAGGGAGCCCTTGAGCGCGTCGGCGTCGGCGAGGAGGGAGCGGAGGTCGTCGACGGCGCGGATGAAGTCGTGGAAGTGGGCGCGGCAGAGCTCCTCGATCTCGGCCTCCCGGTCCCGCGCCGCCGCCCGGAGCGAGGCGAGCAGCGGCTCGGGGCGCCCGCACGCGAACGCGCGCCGCACGAACGGGCCCAGGTCCTCCCCGGCGGCGATGGCGGTGGAGAGCTGCGCGAGGTCGGCCTCCGATGCCGCCGCCGACGCCGGCGCGTCGCCGGGCTGCCTCCGCAGCATCGAGATCTGGGAGGGAGAGGAGGAGGAAGAAGCAGTTGCCGAGTTGGGAACACAACGAAGAAGCGAAGGAAAGAAAAAAAAAAGTCGGGGTGCTAGTAGCAGGGGAGGTCAGGTGGTCGGGGGGGGGGGGGGGGAAGGGAAGGTGGAGGGTGGGTGGCTGCAGGTGGGGTCCACGCGCAGGAACGGAATGCGGGAAGGGGGGTAGGGCCCACATGTCTGTGAGTGTTGGGAGGGGGTAAGGAAGCGGAGGAAGCGGAGGCGACGGCGTCTGAAGGAGGACTGGAGTGGATTGTGTTATTGGGGAGTGAGTGGCTGCAGGTGGGGTCATGGGGAGGGGGGGATGTTGGTTGGTCCACCGTTTCGGGTCCAAACTGACAGTGAGTGGAGGGATAGACTCACTTCCGGTTTGAGCGTTTGGACCTGGAATATTTTGGCTTTCGGCGGTAGAAGAGTGCAATAAGGACTTGTTTGGTTGATAGAATTTTTCAAGTAAACTAAAAAAATTAGCAAGCTATTTGGTTTGTTAAATCATTTAGCATAGTTGAATCATTATCTTAAAAAAAGGCTTAATTGAAGATCTAAATGTAACTTTGGTAGCAAAACCAAGCAATAGCATAGCTAACTTTTCCCAAATATTTTAGCAATGACCAAATTATCTCTCAGGTTGAAACTTTTTTTAAACTTATCAAGCAAATTTTTCGCTCTCGCTCTCTCTCGAACTCTCCGCTACAGTAAATCTCCCCTTTCTCGACCCCTCTTCTTCCCTGTTTCCGGTGGCTTTGCTGCCGGCTGCCGGAGGGAGAGGAGTCCCTCCCCCCCAGTTCCTTAGTTCTAGGAGTCTAGTCAGTTTGTTTAGTGTACGAGCTAGTCTTGTAGTTGGGTTCTTCCCGTTCTTCTCTAGATCTGAGTCTCTTGGTGGTGCTAGCCTCTACTAGCATTCTTGAAGGTCTCAGGTTTCTAGATGGGGCAGAGCTTTGAAGAAGCCGTGGTTGTAGGTCGCGTGGTCGTCGCAGTCTGGGTTGTCGCCGCCTGCTGTCGTGCTAGCAGCGAGGCTGTCGCTGCCCGGGTCCGCGCCTGCGACCGCGTCCGTCGCCGTGGGGGCTGTCGCCGCTTGCGTCTGCGTCGCCTGTGTGGCCGCGTTGGCCGAGGGGCCGTCCCCACCTGCATTTGCGTCGACCATGGCCGAGCCGTCGCCTCCCGCGAGGTCTTCGCCGCCTCTCGCAGCCGCGCCGCCTATGGGGTCTCCATCGACTGTGGTGCCGCAACCCGTGTGGTCGTCGCCTCCTACAGCCGCACCGCTCACGGGGTCTCCTTCTCCCGCGGCTGCGCCACTCAAGTGGCTCCTGCCTCCCACGGTCACGCCGCCCACGAGGCTATTGCCGCTTGTGGCTTCGTCGCCTGCATCGCCGGTGTCCGCACTTCCTCACCAATCCTTGACCCCCTTGAAAGATAGAAATTAATGCTATCGCAACCATCTAACTGATCTTGTGTTGTTGGTTAACTATTTTTTGGTTTCAATCATCCTTTTGTTCCAAAATAGCAGTATCCATGCAGGGTCTACCGTTCGGGTTGAGCAATTTTTGCTCCTCAGATTTAACGGCAGACTCCGTGGAACCTCTATGCTGCTACACCAAAATCTACGGCTCAGCAGTTAACCTCTGTTATGTGTCTTTTCCGCGGGGGCAGCAGTAGGAGTCTTCCAGTCTCTCAAGCGGGATGCATGTCTTTGGAGGCGCAAGGATCCAGTCGTCGCGGCAGTGCTGCTGAGCTCCGTCGATCTGGTCCTCTACTGTTGTTTAGTCTCATCTGGAAGTTTGGTTCCTTAGATTGGTTAGCCTCTACCTTGTTAGAGATGGTCTCTTTGCTTTACATCCTTCTGCAATGTACTGGGGTTTAACCCCTTAACTCTGTCTTTTCCTAATAAAGTTGCTTAAGTTCTAAAAAAAACTTATCATGCAAATTATCAAGCATATTTCGAATTAAAAATTTAGTGTCCCAAATAAGAAAGTTTGAATTTATATGGTAAAATCATATACTCCCTCTAAAGCTATATTTTGGGACCGAGAAAGTATCTTTCTTTTAAATATGGAATAACACAATCACAATAGAACAACAACAATCAGATGGAAACGGCATTTGAGGGTTTGGTCGTTTGGATACTCCTCTGTCCTATAGGGTACAAGATTGTCCTTCTTTGGAAAGTTATTACCTTCTTCCTATTTCTCCGATTGACGACGTGACTAACCCAATCAGTCCCAACTGGCTTCTTCCTGTTTCTCCGATTGACGACGTGACTAACCCAATCAGTCCCAACTGGCTATGTTTAGATCCAAAGTTTAGATCCAAACTTCAGTCCTTTTTCATCACATCAACCTGTCATACACACACAATTTTTCAGTCACATCATCTTCAATTTTAACCAAAATCCAAACTTTGCGCTGAACTAAACACAACCTTTAGGGGAGGAGGTTAAGTTTGCTTAGGACCTTTGGCCTTGCTATTGTGCTAACACTTAGTCCCGTTCTTTTCTCCAAAAACAGTGTGTTTCATGTGAAAACTTTCTATATGAAAGTTGCTCTAAAATATCAAATTAATCTATTTTTTAAGTTTGTAATAATTAAAACTCAATCAATCATACGTTAATACTACTTCATTTTTACGTAAAAAACTTAATCTTGATCTTCATGTTCATCTTTAGGAGAAAAGAACATTGTAAACTTCAAATGAAACCATGATTAAAAAAAACACTTTGAATGACATAGAAGCAACACACAGGATTCAAAATGCATGAAGTACAGCCTATTGTTTATTTTCCACAAATAAGATGGAAGTATAATGCTAAAGCGTCCAAATTGGAATCACAATTGTCATAGGAAAGTTATTCGAAAAAATTACTAGCCTAATGGGTTGCCCATATTTCCTAATAAGCCAAAACTGCTTGTTAGGAAATAAAAAATAATTGAGTGAAATACATGGCTGGTCTTTAAACTTGTGGGGTGGTGTCACTTATATCCGTGAACTTAAAAATTACACATTTAGCTCCGTGAACTTGGTTTAATGTACCACCTCCGGTCCAATCGTCCTTTGACCATATTTGATCGCCAACTAGGCATGCCACGTAGGCAACACTTTTGTGCTCAGCCCCCTCCACATATATCTTTCGCATATAACTTGCCCTGACCAGTGCATTTCAACCTAAATCCCCCAAAATATCTCTAAATTGGCTAGGTTTTCGACGGTGAGGTTAGCGGAAGGAGGCCGAGAGGTAGCGGCTTTGGCGGCCTCGGTGGTGAGATTAGCGACAGGAGGCAGCGCAGTGCAGCGGGGTTAGCGGTGGTACAGTGCGATCGGATTAGCGGCGAGAGGCAGCGCAATGCGGCTTGCACCCTAGGCATCCCCATGGATTCTCCAAGCTCGCCCTCATCTTGAAGTTGCTGGAAGAAGGTGTTAGTGTGCAAGGATAAGATCATTTTGAAGCGAAGAGCAATGGCAATTGCTAATCGGGACTGCATTTTCAATACATGCAAGGAGAAGAATGAGAGGGAAGAACAATTCGAGAATTTTTTTTGGGATTTTGGTGTCACTGTATAGCTACAATGAGATATATGCAACGTGTTGTGATATGGATAGGGCTGAGAGAAAAAGTGTTGCCTACGTGACATACCACGTTGGCGGTCAAACACAGTCAAAGGACGTTTGGACCGGTGTGGTACATTAAACCAAGTTCACAGACCTAAATATGTGCAATTTTCAAGTTCATGGATCTAAGTGACACCACCACACAAATTTAGGGACCGACCATGTATTTCACTCAAAATAATTTATATATATAACTTTTATTTATTTGTTCGTAGTGACTTCAAAATCAATGCTAAAAAAATTACGTTAAAATATCTTAAAATCAACTTAAAAATCAAGTTAGAAAACTTAAAGTTTAGCTTTTTCTTTGGCTTATTAAACCAACCAACGAGGCTCTACGCCAATAATACAACATGAAGGAAAGTTTTCAACATTGATTTACTCTCATTGACTAAAACAAACAACCTCGATAGTAAGTTGCTATGGCGATATGCTTAGCTTTCAAGTTACTATACTTCATTACATCCACCTTGGTACCAAGGGTAGCATGGATATACCAATACATACAACAGCAAATTGACAATATTTACTTGCGTCAGTGAAGCAGCTTTTTCTTTTGACAGACTTCACACTAGGCACCAGCAGCATGGCCACGTTAGATTTACTTGCGCCGGTGAGTACTAATTCTTTAGAAAGGCTGTGTATAGGCTGTGTTGTGTTTAGTTTCTGAAATTGGAGAAAAGTTTGAAAAAAGTTGGTAGTTTGGAAAAAAAATTGGGAATTTATGTGAGTAGGAAAGTTTTGGATGTGATGTGATGAAAAGTTTGGAGTTTAGAGGAAGTTCGATGTGAACTAAACAGGACCATAGTTCGCTTCAAACTTCCAAAAATTTCATCACATCAAATGTTTGAACACATGCATAGAGCATTAAATATAGAAAAAAAACAATTACACAAATCTTTTGAGTTTAATTGCGCCATGATTTGACAATATAATGCTACAGTAAACATTTGTTAATGACGGATTAATTAGGCTTAATAAATTCATCTCGTAGTTTACAAGCGGAATTTGTAATTTGTTTTGTTATTAGTCTATGTTTAATACTTTAAATGTGTGTCCGTATACTTAAAAAAAATTTAGGTAAAGAACTAAACACGGCCAAAATTTGAATGCACAAAGTATGTCAAGAAAAGGTTAATCAAACAGAAAATGCATTGCGATGGTTCATATATACACACATGTCACAGCATCACGACATCAAAATGCTAGGAAGGCTAACAGCCTGACTCAGTTGTTCACAAATATATGTACCACCCAATGACATAACCTTACAAGTACTGAGATGGTACGGTTTCATCTCCGTGCTGACTACAACTTTTGTCTACCGTTTCTTGAAGTTGAAGGAAACATGGAGAACGTACCGCATCCTTATCTGATCTACGTTATAAACTATGAACTCATTGTACAGCAAGCTACCCTGCAGTCAAACAGAAGATGGGTAACCAGTTAAATCATAGCTCGAACGTATTGCTGGTAGGATTGGTTTTGACGAAACATACCCTTTTTGAAGGCTCTGCCTTAGGTTTTCCAAGTGGAACAACCACACCATCATCCGTGATCTTCGACTCTGCTGTGTTCGGTTCTGTTTGGCCAACTCCTTTCGTGCTGTGTCAAGACAGTTGCAACCAGAAATTCATGTCATATCAAGTAGCAGCACCAACACAACACTTTTTTATTAGTTTGTATAAATCATTTTACATAGTCCGAAATGAAATAGATTAAAGTCTCCGTCACAAGGGGGTTCCGATTGTCATTAGGTTTACACACTTGAAACGGCATAAACAAATTACCCTTGTCTAATCACAGGCGTTGTAATACTTAACTTGATCTAGCTTATTATTTTTTTATTTTTATCATTTAAGCTATTTTTCCCAAAGCCATGCAGTTGTGTACACCTGCAATTGTATAGGCTGCATTGTTGCTTCCATTTAAAAAACAAGTTAATTCCACGAATACATGAATTACTTATGTATAATCATCCTCGGAAGAAAAATAGTGTACTTTCCAATTCAGCAAGCGAACATCAGGGGCTTATTAAAAGAATCACGTTAGAAACTGACCTTAGCTTTCCCTTTGGCAGGTTATTGGCATCATAATCTGCATTTAGTAGCTCATTCATCTCACCGAGTGCAACCTGTGAGATGCAAGTTGAAACAAACATTAGCAACACAAGAACAAACTCAGTAGACAACTCACACTCAAAACGGAAGCAGGGAGAACTGAATAGCCCAAACTCTTGAGAATGAATAATAGATGAAATAAGGTAAATGATACAATCAATGAACCAAAAAGGGGAGGCTTAGGAGCGCACAACCAGGGATGGATCCAGCATGGGGGCGGCGGGGTCTCGAGCCCCCACTACTAGCGTGAAGAATATGAGAGACCCCACGAAGACTCCACTAAAATTTTTTACCATATATAGATGAGAGGGGGGACTGTAACTCTATCTAGTTTGCTCAGACTCCACTGCTATTTCTTTCTGGATCCGCCACTGTGCACATCATGCCTTCATCAACTTATAATACCTTAATGCAAGCACAGCACACATACCTCACATAGAAGCAGCACACCGGACCTGCAGGCTTCTGAAGCATAGCAATAATTTGCACTCTTGGAAAACATATCAGCAAAGTATACTCCTTTCCCAAACATGTAGCCAGTAACAGGTGCTTCAGGAGGAGCAATTCGCAAACCTGGAGAAGTGTAATAGTATTAATTATAATATCATCAATCCATTTTGTAGTTGTTCCAACATTTAAGGAGTTCCAAATAGCACACAATAATCTGGCATCTCTAAGGAAACAAGCAAATTCCTTATCAGTTTTACATACTAAGTAAATGTTTCAGCAACAGAAAGGGAAGTTACAATTGTGCAGGGAAGCTCCTATTAAATGCAAATAGATGAAAATGACGCATCAATACCAGCGCCGATGAAGATAACATTGATATTGTATTTCCTTCAAAAGAATAACTTAAATGGTTATTTATCATAACTACAGGAAGAGCAAATAAGTAGATCGTATTCATAACTCATGAAGAAAGCTGGAGCTAAGTTATCTTCTATACATATAATGAAAGTTCTCTACATATAAATACAATTTTTCAGATAGATAAATTACCTTGAGACAGAATGCCGGCCCAGTTAGTCAACCGAGAACCATGCCATAAAAGCATCCTATTGCCTGCAGTAGCAAACTGCAAGAACATTTCAAAAATTACTCATTCCACAACTAGAGTACAGCTATTTTGGTTGGCTTAGTAGATCAGGAAGATCCACTCACTTTCTGAAACCGTTCCATTTCACCATGCCTTGACACCTTAAATATTTGCACTACGTCAACAGTATAGCTTGTGTGCGTTTTTCCATGGGTATTTGCCAAATATGTTTTTATCTGGACAGCATAATTTTCGAACAAGGTCAAAGCATGACAAACATGAACAATAACATAAATAAAGGGTTGATAGACATAATGAAAAACTCATTCTACATTAGTTTCTGTTCATAACAAACTCACAGAAATTACCTCTTTCCTAGCCAAGAAAGAAATGAGAAGAATGTTGCCATATTCAAATTAAAAATGACAAATAATACTATCTTGATGAACCTTGTCACTGGCAAGTAATGTCCAAAAATTATTGAACATATAAATTCTTGGTAGCAATCTTACCATAGAGTATTCTTCAGAACCAACTTCCAAAGGTGTAAAGTCACAGCTAAGTTGCTTGTATCGAGCATACAATGGATCATCCTACATATGGAAACATGCCACATTATGTTCCAACAGTGCAAGGTTGTAAAATTACGAGGAATATTTTAGTTACTTAAACAATGATAAAAACGGTCCTAGGATGAGCATACTGGAACGCTAATATAATCACACCAACTACAAACTTGAAGATTCTAATATAAACAAAGATTTTCAAATGAACAGAACCCACAGGTCCATAGTTCCATATCACTACATCGCAGTATTTTCATAACATACCTGGTCGGTTGAATCATCCTCCAGAAGCTTGGTTGCAATCTCAATCTCACCAAGGGCTTCAACCTTTCAAAGAGCAAGAAAGCTAATAGCATGAACATCTTTCAACATACATGGGTTGTAAATTGTAATAGACATAATGGTTGTCAAGTACAGGAACATACATTACAGACAACCTACACATTAACAATATGAATGTGAATGATCTGAAAAAGGATGTGGAACTACAACACAATTCAACAACTCTAGTAGACTTTTAGATAACAATGACAGGTGAATTTCATCGTTACAAAGTATTGTACAAGATAGACACGATAACATAGGGCCTAATAGAAATAAAATAATACCATAGATATTCATACAGAATGAAGAGGCCCTTATTAGTGGAACAATTATGTGAAAGAAAGTAGCTTATTACCATTTCCAGCTTAGCTTTTAGCTTCTGAGGAGTGTCAATAATAAATTCACCTGTCAGATAAATTAAGTAGGTCAGACAGTCCTACATAAAGGCCCAAAACAGAGCTGCCTGTGTTAACTACTTACTCCCCCCGTCCCATAAAAAACCAACTAGTACTACGAATCTGGACATACCATCCAGTCCTAGATTCATTTTTTTTTTGTGGGACGGAGGGAGTAAGTCATGGTAAGAACTAAGAAGTTCAATAGTTAGAAAGTTTGAAGCTCACGCATTTTCTTAAAACCGAAGTCATGAGGGATCACAGTGTAGAATTCCCTGCAACCAGAGGCAGCATAAGACAATCTCATTAAATTAAAAAAAAGGCCTTTAAAGGATAAATGTAGTGTTGAGAGCCACATGTATCATGCATTCCACAACTAGAATCATCTGACAAACAAAATCACAAAATAAATTGTATCTAGAAACTAACAAACATACACAAACAGTCATCACAATCCGAAGATCAAACCATTTGAAAGAAAACTGAAGTGAGTTGAAATCCTTTTCAGTTAAGGATGAAAGGGGCACTCAAAGTCAAACTAATTTCCATCAAACAATCACCATGATGCTATATATTACAGAGCACACAACAATTAGAACATTTATGTAACAAATTATTAAAATTCCAGCATTTTGAAAAATGGCAGGTCATCAAAACATTAAAGATGTGAAACGGGATGTCAACACAGGCATCATATTATTTGATATATGTTTGTTACTTGTGAGTTGTGACCAATAATAATAAAAAGAAACGCATGGACCCACCCAGTCAATTGTTCAAGCTGTCTCCTGTCTGCCCTCGAAATAACATTGGAAATCCTCTTTAAAACATCATAACCCTGTAGACATCATCATCGTCAGAAAAAAGAAGGTTGGTATGAGTGCAATACAAAACCAAGGCCATGAAATCCAAACCGTTAATACATACAACACTGAAATATGCATAAACCACAACTTTTAGAGCACATGGTTATGTTAACTTCTGGGTAGATTGTTAGAGATCAAGTGCAAGCTGTTTACATGGCTTGTTCTTCAACTTGTAGGCTTATACCTACACATGATAATTACCAATAAAAAGAATAGAAATAACTCACCTTAAATATTGTGGATTTACTTAGCTTTCCAAGAGGAAGTTTATCAGAATTGTAACCTGATTGATTACACAACATGAATCAGAAAAGCAGAAACTTGACAAATGAACATCAGGAACTACTTATCAAAATAGGCAAATCAACCTGTGGGATACCATGGAATATACATATAAAAAATTGATAATGGACTCTTTCACTGAGTTAATTCAACTCTTTGGGCTGATGATTACAAGTATTCCGCCATTAACTAAGTTAAGTCCCATCTCAGTTTTACTTTTCAAAATTAACTCTCACAATTATAACTTCCTCATTACCAGATCTACCACGCAAATTAATTATCCATGAGTCAACCCTATGCAGGTGGTGATAAATCATTGATTCTATGTTTAGAGTCAACTATATTTTTCTAGCATATGACTGCAACTTAGGTAAACAGGATAATAATCTTATGATGTTCAAATAAGCATGAAGAGCAACACTGAAACAACTTACCTATTTCCACCATTTGCTGCTTCATCATGCTTATGTTGCAGATGAGGGATATGAAACTTGCAATTCGAGTTTCAAGTTTCGTTTCTTTTATCTGATCAGTGCTGGGACTGACTTTCTTGTTCTGGGACAAATTTGAATGGGTCAGGGATTAAAACAACATAGGTGCTAAATTATAACACAGTTACTAATCTTACTGTTTCCCTGTCTGCTTCACCATAGTCCATCTCAAGCCAGGTGTATTTCCTTGCATAGCATTCAAAGCTCTTGCGATCTGACCAATGGTTATTGGTTTTGCCATGGAACTTTCCCTCAAATTCATATATTGCTTGTTCTCGTGATGAAAAGGGACCATGTAGCTTGTCTTGACCCCGTGCCCCTACCCTCCCCCATCTATTGTAAACCATGAAGCTTCCTCCAGCATCAGATTCTAAAACCAAAACATCAGTTCATGATCCACCTAACACTATACATTATTCAGAGATCGAAATATTGAATTTATGTACCAAGAGTATCAATGTTTTAAATAGCGGGCTAAGGTATTTAGCGGTTAGCTTCTCAAACAGCTATAGCGGGCTAAATGGAGCTATAGTGGCTAAATTGTATATGAGAGCAAATAGCTAGAACCCTTCTCAAACAGCTATAGCGGGAGATAGCGGCAGCTATAGCAGGAGATTTAAAACCCTGAAGAGTATATGCATTGTGCACTTTTGCTTCTAAAAGAAGTGTACTCAAGTTGATGAAATAACAAGACAATTATCAAAGTAAGACAGAATCATCTAACGAATTCATATAACTCAATTGTTGGAACATGAAAGAGAGGAAATGTTTTCTATTTCAACCGGTCAGAGAGAGATGGGCAAACCTAAGGCTTGGATGATATAGAACTTATTATTGTTGTCTCCAACATTAGTCTGGTTCATGGTGGCATCATAGATCTCATCACCCTTCAATAAAAACCACTAATTAGTAAAAGGCACAGGTAGCACAACAGTTTCGAGGTACTAAACGATGACAAAACTGTTCTAGCTACAGTCTATACTGAATACAGAAATTAGGGATTCGATAATGAGTTTAACATGGACTAATATTTAAATACCTGACAGAATTAGACATGCTACATTTCAAGCACAACAAAAGACGGATCCATCAATGAATAATAAAAATCTTCTACCAAACTGAAAATAATGCAATGCATCAGGCACTAAATTGCTGATGATAATATTTATGGTGCGAATAATGGAAATTTTTATAAGAGGAAATAAAGAGGCAAAACTGAGCTAACACACCACTTGCAAGACATGATAGGTCATTTTTATATGGTCAGGGATGTGCTGGTCCAAAACCGCAGCACCTTTCCTTGTGGCTGTAACAATCTTCTCCTTTCTACACTCCTCAACTCTGTCGTCACCATCTGCACCAATTGAATATACAAGAAAAAAACACCAAAACAATGTTATTCTGGTGAAATTGCAATCTTCGCCTATGGTAAGTTAAATGCGAGATTAATTGACCAGCAAAACCTTTTGCGATTTTCTTCTTGTCCTGAACTCCACCATCCGTATCAGAAGGGGCGCAGAGCAGCCTCTCAATAACCTCCTTCTTGCTCCCATTTGCTGCGAGTCCCCTCGACTTGGCCAGTGCCTGGAGCTCACGATAGCTCATCCCCTCCAGCTTCGCCGCGTCCGATTCACTGTTATCCACATCCTCTCCATCACCGCGTCTTTTCCTCTTCCTCTTGTCCTCGCCATTCCCTTCGCCGTCCACCACGCCACCTGCATCTGCTTCTTCCTTCGCTGCTGCGGACACCGCAGCCTCCTCCTCCTCCTCTTTCCGGATGGCGGCGTCCAGCCTCCGCACCTAGCAGAAACGCGCAATGCATCACGGGAGTTCAGAATATCGCAGGCACACGCACAAGCACATGGCGTGCGCCCGCCACAACCGTGGTAGGGGAGGGTGGGGAATGGGGAGTGGTGGTACTCACGAGCACTGGCTTGTTGCCGGAGGCGTCGAGGCCGCGGCGCTGCAGCTCGGCGCGGAGCTCCTCCACCCGCAGCCTCGCCGACATCACGCCGCCGCCGCCTCTCCTCGGGTTTCCGGGATGCCGAGGTGCTTCTAGAAGGTTCTAGGCGCGGGCGAAGAGGGAGAGTGGAGGCTAGGGGGGATTGGGGGTTTTTTGGGGGGTTTGGTTGGGGAGGAGTTTTTGGGTGGGTTTTGAATGGGCGGGTTTCTTCCGGGAGAAGAGGCGCCGCGACGCGAGGGAGAGGAGGCTTCTTCCTTCCTGGGGAAGGAGGAGGAGGCGACAAAATCAGAAATTAAAAAATAAAAGTGTTTGGGCGTTTTGGGGGAGATCACTAGAGGCGGGAAAAATGAAAAGGGACTTTCTTTCTCTTCGATGTTGAAATTATTATTATTATTATTATTATTATTATTATTATTATTATTATTATTATTATTATTATTAGAAAGAGAGATAGAGATTGGACCAGCACCAAAAAATTTAAAAAACACTTTGTCGAATGTGATTATCATAATTAAACTAGGATTCTACGTTGAGGCTGTTACATTAATTAGCCCGTTATAGGGGTGTGTTCGCTAAGAGGTGTTTCCAACGGAAAACGGAGCGGTCTATTAACACGTTATTAATTAAGAATTAGCTATTTTTTAAAAAAATGAATTAATTTGATTTTTTAAGCAACTTTCGTATAGAAAATTTTTTAAAAAATATTGTTTAGCAGTTTAAAAAGCGTGCGTGCGGAAAACGAGTGTGGGGAGTTAGGAACCCCAGCTAAAGAAAACAGCCCGAACGTCCTCCCGACAAAAACTTGTTTTGGAATGTCGTGTCATATATACTTTCCTCCGCTTTCTAAGTTTGACACCATTTGATTTTTTTTCCATTCATCTTATTTTAAAAATTAAATAATTATATGGTTTTTTATTTGTTTTATCACTAAAAGGATTTAAGCACGAATATATTTGAGCATATTTATATATATTTTTAATAAAATGAATGGTTGACATATACTCAGAACGCACACTCACATACACTACACTCACACCACAACACACGCAGCGTGTCCTTAACATACGCTAGGAATAAGATTGAAGACCACTAGGTCTTAGTACACAGGAAACGTGCAATACCACTGCATGCGCGTACCCTATTTCTGAGAATGACGCGTGTGTACCCTATTTCTGAGAAGGGTACAACTCACGACGTACACTCACACACACCACACTCACACCACGACACACGCACACACGCTTGCGCGTCCTTACCACATGCTAGAAATGAGATTGGAGACCACTAGATCTCAGTGCACGGGAAACGTGTAGTCCCACTAAACGCGTACCCTATTTCTAGTTGAGACTACCCCGAAGGACAATCCCGAAGAAAGACGGAAAAAATCCCGTCGAGGTGAGGTCCCGCCAGTCGAACTCGCGACCGTGCCAACCGAGCTCCTCTACGTATACCTAAATTTTAACAGCGTGAATCTAGGAGAATAATATAGCCCGTGAGACTAATGTTATTTTTTTTCTCGGGGAGAAATGATGTTGCTATTTTATGTAAACGACCCTCTGCAGTCGAATAGATGACTTTATTACAAAAAAACTTTCGTTATTGGGAGGTCAGGGGAACCTGATCCGTCTTATCTTAGGTTACAATAATTTATACATACATATTTTTCAAAAAATATGTATTTGTTATTAAATTACCGAATTTTATATGTTATGTAATTTTTATGTGTTTTTTCTTGCGGTTGCGCTAACTAGCTACGGCGCGATATTGTGGTAAGCACGTCCTTCTTTCTCCTATTCTTTTGCAGATGAATGTAATCACGTCCTTGGGCACGAACGCACGACAGATATACTGGACATAGACCGTTCGCTGTCATGTGAACTAAAAAATGATTTTTTTTATACCGTCAAAACCGATTTTCGTAGACAATTGGGTAACTCGCATATAGACTTTTACATGCGGGTAGAGCAACCATATGTGAAAAGTTAAATATCCCCTTTTATCCTTAGTCCCAAATTAATTAATAAATTGCCCTGAGAAAATGTCTAAATTAACATGGAGCTAATCCTAATTCGCAAATGCAATTAATAAGCGGAATGAGCATGCTGGAATTTTCTTGAGTTCCTCGTGTTTAAATACGCTAACATGATTTTTAGCAGAAATTGCTGAACAAAGGAGGTAATTTTATTATATCCCAATCAATTATCAAGATTAAATCTTTACTATTATAAAAATTGAAGATGGTTTTGCCGGTACTTTGATACGTCATCCATGTATGAGTCGGTTTTTAATTTCGTTCGCTTTTGGAAAAACATATACGTATTTGAGTCGGTTTTTAAGTTCATTCGTTTTCTGAAATACATAAAGGAATCCTAATTGCAGTTTATAATTTTCTAAATATATATATACTAGAAAAAAAATCCGTGTGTTGCAACGGGTGAAGTCTATTTTAATCTTATTATTGTTATATGGCTTAGTTAAAATGAAATTTACTGTGGGAGTTCGGTTGGATATATATATATATATATATATATATATAATGAGCTGCAATTAGGAGTCCAATCGTCTCAAGTTAGCATGCGAGTTCTTTTAAACAGATTTCTTATATAATTCCTTCTGTATTACTAAAAGTGAACGATCTTAAAACCAACTCAAAAACGAATATGTATTTTCAAAAGCAAACGAACTTAAAAACCGACTCATATACGGATGACGTACCAAAATACCGGTAAAAACATCTTCAATTTTTATAATAGTAGAGAGAAAATCACGAGCTGAAGTTAGGAATCCGATCATCTCAAGTTAGCATGCGAGTTCTTTTAAACATATTTCTTATATGATTCCTTCTTTATTACCAAAAGTGAACGATCTTAAAAACCGACTCAAATACGGATATGTATTTCCAAAAGCAAATGAACTTAAAAACCGACTCATACACGGATGAGTACCAAAATACCGGTAAAAACATCTTCAATTTTTATAATAGTAGAGATATCCAAGCGAATTCCAACAATGAATTTCATCTTAACTAAACAATATAACAACAATAAGATTAAAACAGTCTTTACCCATTACAACGCATGGACTTTTTTTTTCTAGTTTAATTAAAATTCCTTCATCTCCCTCCTTTGGCCGTGGGCCGTTTCCGGCCCACTCCTCCTTTTACCTCTCCCGCTCTCGTGCGTGCTCTGCTAGGACGGCCCGTGGCCACGGATCAGTGGCGCCGCTCCTCCGGAGGGTTACTAATAGGAGGGCCCACCTGTCGGGCCCTTCCCCTTCCTCCAGCCAGCGCCGTGCCTCTCCCTGTCTCCCTACCAGTCTCCACCGCCTCCCTCGTAACCGTTTCCCCCTCCGATTCGGGCGGGGTTTGTTGCGCCAAAAACCATCGCCGCCTCTCTCTCTCCTATCTGCCAGCCGCCACCAAATTCACCGCTTACCAGCCGCCCCCGTGCTCCTACTGCTATAAAAAGCCTCCCCGAGATCCCCTCTTCCTTTTCGCTCACTCGCTGCCGCTCCCGTGCCCTAGGTCGTCGTCACCCTAGCCACCGCCGCCGCTTCCACTCCTTCGAATGCCGCTAGCAGCTGCACCTCACCGCGCTGTTGCTGCCATCGGAATCACGAGGCCGAGAGCCGCGTCGTCCGCCGGTCACTCGCCGCCATCTGCCGTCGGATCTCGCTGCCCTCCGCTCGCCGGTGAGCCGCCATTGATGGCCAACTCCGGGCAGCTCTCTCCGGTTGTCCCTCTTCCCCTCTCTCTTTCTAATCTACCCCTTCCTGGAACCCATCCGCTCCTCGCTGTCGTTGTCGTTGCTGTCGTCGTCATCTCCTCCGCGCCGTCGGTGAGACCCTCCTCCTCTTCCCTGCCATGCCGCTGTGTCGCTGCCGTGTTGCCGCTCTACCACGCAGATGGCCGCTGCCGGCAACCATCGGGTAGCGTGCGTCGCTGCCTCCCAGTCAGGACAGCTGGCCGTCGGCCGCTGCGCCCTAGCCATCCGATCTACCCCTTGGCAGATCGGGGTCGTCCACGTCCGTGCCGCGTGGCTGCCACGTCAGTGCCACGTGTACGCCACGTGGTACACTCGCCCCAGTCATGTGGACTTGGTCCACCATGGGCCGAACCGCCTTGTGTCACTGACAGGTGGGACCCATCGGTCGGCGCCGGTTCTATCCCCTCGCTGACGTCAGCACCCTCCTTTGTTGCACAATAAATCAATTAACTAAAATCTGGTTATAGTAAAAATATGGTAAAACTTCTAAAATTCATATCTTATTCATTCGAGCTCCGATTTAATCCATTCAAGTCTCAGTAATTTCATAAAAATGTCTAGAATCCATTAAAAATGGTTTAGTTTCTTGTTCAATAGACTTATAGCATGTTTTTCTTATGTGCTTTGTTTGTCGTATATAAACCGGCAATTCCGACGCTCCCGTTTACTACGAAGTGGTAGCAAAGTTTCCTTCAGCGCCGGAGCAAGGCAAGTCATACATATCTCATTGAACATATTGTACCTATTTTACAAATTCCCCGCTTTCCATTTAAACTGCATTGTTTTATAATGTCAGGTGGGATGGAAACATACTGTACTCAGCCTTTTGTTATCATATATCGTTAATAGCTTGGGGTATAATATGACTAGCTGTTTGGTTTAGGTGATTTTTAGCCATGCTTAGTTCAATGAGCACACTATGGTAATTCACATTAATTGTAGACCTTGTTTATTTCTGAGATTAATTATTATATACCATCATGGTATTAAATAAACTAAAATATGATAAATGGTGGCTGTGAGTGTATGATTTTGCTAGACGCACCCATGGCAATTAAGGACCGGTTCGCAGGTAACCCTGGAAGAATTATCGTAGTTACCACAAGCCAGCGTGGGCAATGGCTGGACTTGTAGGGTAGCTTTTCCTAGCCGACGTGCCTGGGCAAGGGTGGGCGTGATGGAGTTAGGATGGGACCTGCGACGGTCTATGCTGCTTCCAGATTCACCTAGGCACGAGAGGGGGTTACCCGACTTGGCTTAAGGAGGGGGCGAAACCTGAGGTGTGGTGCGATTGGTTAGGGAGGGTTATGCGAAGGGCCCTGTGACAGTTTCTTTCCAGTATGTCATGGTGGCATGTTGGCTCATGGTAACGTGTTGTGAGATTGTATCTTGTGGGTACAGTTGTACACCTCTGATCAAAGTAAAACTATTCGAATAGTCGTGCCCGCGGTTATAGGCGATCAACCAGATTCGTCGTGATTAGTCTCACAATGACTTAATGAACTGGTTTAGTTCAGGTGGTTTGGTTGTGCATGTTTCAACGTGGTTTAGCGTTGGGCAGTGACATTTAATATTGCTTAATTTATAATTATTCTTTTACTATATTCAAATTGTGATTTGTAAATACTGTTTTATGCAAATAATCCATAGTTTGCTTTGGAATTATCCTGCATCATACCTTCCTTTTGGTATGACTTGTTGAGTACAGTGGGTAGTACTCAGTCTTACTTTATTTTTCCCACAACCCTTAGAAGCATAGTATTATTCAGATGGTGATTACTCGGAGGAATATGTTTGTTGCTCACATATACTGATATACGATTAATTATTTTTTCAATAGTAGGTGACAAAGTGCTCATAGCTAGAGATAGAGCGCACGTTCATAGAGGTGAATATGCGCGTGTTATGAACATATGCGTTTGTACTGTGTCTCTTTAAATAAAGCTAATTTTTTAGTTTATTTTTTAAAAAATATTTAATTTATCCTATAATCTATAATTAAGTAGATAATATGATGGAACAATCCCTATTTGTTTCAAACTGAGCTGAAATGTGTTTTGAGGGTATGGGCCTAGAAGATTTCCTTCTTTGGAAAGTTCTTCCCTTCTTCCAGTTTCATCATTGCTCAAAGTAGAGTACAATGCTTAGAGCCCCTTTGATTTGTATGAAAAAAAATAGAAATTTTAGATGATTTCAATTCTATAGGAAAATTTCACATGAAAGCCTTAGAAACTATGGATTGAGTCCTATCCATCCAATCCTTTGAAATTCCCGTGAAATGGACAATCCTATATAGATTTTCGAGGGAACTTAGCAAGAGCTCCAACCTTTTGGAAAACATTATTTGGTCTATCTCTCTCATTTAATTCATGTGTTTTTCCTGTTGTCCAATTAAACGGTACGTGGGGACACTATACCCAGGTACCCCAAGATTAAGCCTTTGGGTCGTATTACGCAACATGGGCCGGGTAGGCCTAAGGCTCATACAACATGATGTAACTTGATAAAGGGATTAAAGATAATGCTATAAATCTTAGGGGCTGTTCAGATTGATGCCATTTTCAACCATGCAATTTTTTGGCATAGTTGCCAAAAAAATATATCTACGTTTAGTTCGTTGCCAAACTTTGATAAATACATAAGAAATCCTATCAAAATTTCGGCAATATTGCCAACTTGCCAAAATTTTGGCATTGCCAAAATTTGGTAATGTTTTATTTTGGTTACAATCTGAACAAGTCCTTATTCCATGTAAATAGGTGGTAGGTACCTAGATTATAAGGGACAACCTACCAACCTTACCCGGTCACCCCTAAAACCTAATAGGGGTGATTGATCGATTTCTTCATACATGCTACGTGCTATTCACACGCTATATTATGCACACACAGATCCAATCTATGTACAATTAGACTAGGGTAGTACCTCACCTTGACAGTCTGAATCAGTATAAATATTTGTGTCATCATCTCTTCTTGATTTTGTGCACCCTACAAGTATTATTGCCGATCAAGAAAATCGACACGGTCGTTCCTGTGTTTTGCAATCATAAGTTTTGTAGTTAAATTCCTATGAGAATCCTATGATTTTCCTATTCTTCCCCTTTTTTTTTTCCTTTCTTGTATGTCTGCATATTTACTTGCGTCTGGGAAGTAACTTATGGCGTTCAACAGACTTCACACTAGCAGCAGAATGTCCACACATGTCAGTTTTACTTGCACCGATGAGTAATTCCTTCTACAAAATTTGAGTGCACATGGAAAATGGATTGTGATGGTCCTATACACACACACAGCATTAGCGATCAGCATAGAACCACATGAAAATATACTAGGAAATTATCTTTATAACACATTTGTTCACATAAGAAGGGAACCCCAATGGTAAAATCTCATGTTCTGAGATGGTCGGATTTCATCCCCATCTCTTGAAGTTGAAGTTGACATTGAGGATGTAACGCATCCTTATCTGATCCACGTTGTAAACTATGTACTCGTTGTACATCAAGCTACCCTGCAGTTAGATAGGAGCTGTGTCAAAGTTAAGTTAAATCATACAGTAGCTCGAACGAATTTGCTGGTGTAGGATTAGTTTTTGACGAAGATACAAACACAGCGGGGAGGTACACATACCCTTCTCGAAGGTACCTTCTCAGGTTTCCCAAGTGGAATAACCATACCATCATCAGTGATCTTGGACTCAGCTATGTTGGGTTCTGTTTGGCCAACTCCTTTCGTACTGTATCAAGATAGTTTGCAGCCAGAAATTTGTGTCATATCAAAGTAGCCTGTACAGAACTTTCTGTTAGTTGTTATAATTAATCATTACAGGTTATATTGATGAAATGATGAATTTTCTCGAAAACGTGGTTCCAATTGTCATTAGGTTTACGTACTTGAAACGGCATCAAATTACCCTTGTATGGTCGATTTGGTAATTTCAGAATGATATTGAATTTGATAAAATCTCATGTTTATCTTCATGCGCTCCAATTGTCTGCGGTTATGTTCAGTTGTCCAGCATGAAGAATTGCAGGATGTGTTTTCGTTCTCATGATTTACTTGGGAGATAGCAGTTAAATATTTTCTCAACCTTTATGGATAGTGATATATTCACAGGCTTTGTAACTAATAACTTGATTTAGCTTGCGTGTCTTTATTTTTACCATTTAAGCCAATTTCACAAAACTATGTGGTTGTGTACACCTTCTAGTGTAGCGGCTAGAGTGGATGCTACCATTAACTAACAAGAAGTTGATGCCACAAGTCCATGAAAAGTACTTGGAAATAATTGTGTGAGAAACTGACCTTAGTTTTCCATTTGGCAGGTTATCGGCACCAAAATCTCCATATAGTAGTTCATTCATTTCACCAAGTGCAACCTGAGAAATGTAAGTTAAAACCAACATAAGAAAAAGAATAATATCAGTAAACAACTTAAAATTGAAGGGAGGAGAAGCGAATAGTCCAAACTCTTGAAACTGAGAATGAATAATAGATGTAAGAAGGTAAATGACACAACCAATGAACCAAAACAAACTGAGACTGCACAACTTCCAGGAGTAAGTCTTCAACATATAATATCACGAGGGCGAGTACAGCATACATACCTCACATAGAAGCATCACACCAGACTTGCATGCTTCTGAAGCACAACAATAGTTTGCACTCTTGGAAAACATATCAGCAAAGTATACCCCTTTCCCGAACATGAATCCTGAAATAGGTGCTTCAGGAGGAGCAATTCGCAAACCTAGGAGAAGTGTGATGTTAATTATAATATCATTCATCCATTTAACAGTTCCAACATTTAAGGAGTGGCAAGTAGCACAGGATATTCTGGAATTTCTGAAGGGAATAGGATACTAACTAAATGTTTCAGCAACAGAAAAAGAAATCACAAATGTGCAGGGAAGCTCCAATGTATAAATAGAATTTTAAGATAGATGAATTACCCTGAGAAAGAATACCAGCCCAGTTGGTCAGCCGAGAACCATGCCATAAAAGCATCCTATTGCCAGCACTAGCAAACTGCAGGAACATTTTGAAAATTACTAATTTCACAATTGGAGCACAGTTCTTTTGGGTGGCTTAGCTGATTAGGAAGATCCACTCACCTTCTGAAACCGCTCCATTTCACCAAGCCTTGACACCTTAAATATTTGCACTATGTCAACAGTATAACCTGTATGTGTTTTTCCATGGGTATTTGTCAAATATGTTTTTATCTGGACAGCAAAAATTTCAAACAAGGTTAAATCTAAGCACTTCAGACAAAGTTGAACAATAACATTAATAAAGAGTAAATAGACATAATAAAAAAACTCAGTCTACCATGTTAAGTTAGTTTCTGACTTTCTGTTCATAAAAGCTCACAGAAATTACCTTTCTTTCCCTAGCCTATATTCAAGTTAAAAATGACAAATAGTACTATCTTGATGCGCCTTGCCACTGGCACGTAATGTCCATAAATCGTTGTGCATATAAATTCTTGGTAGAAGTTTTACCATAGAGTATTCTTCAGAATCAACTTCCAAAGGTGTAAAGTCACAGCAAAATTGCTTGTATCGGGCATACAATGGATGATCCTACATATGGAAACATGCAACAGGTGCAAGGTTTGTACAGTTACAAGGAGTTCTTTACTTGAAGATTATAAGATAAATGAAGATTTTACAATTGAGGAGAACCCACAAGTCCATATCGAATGCCACAGTTATTTGCATAATGACATACCTGGTCACTTGAATCGTCCTCCAGAAGCTTGATTGCAATCTCAATCTCACTAAGGGCTTCAACCTTTCAAAGAGCAAGAAAGCTAATAACATGAGCAGGGTGTAATAGAGAAAAAGGTGCATTAAGTCAAGGAACATGTAACATAATAATATGAATGATGTAAAATAATCAGATAGAGAAAAGGATATGGAGCTACAACAATTTCAACAACTTTAGTAGAAATTTAGATAATGACAAGAAAATTTCATCATTAGATAGTATTGTACAATAGGCACTATAACACAAGGCTTAACATAGAAACAAAATAATGCTATAAATTCATTATTTTTTAAAATCATAAGATGCACAAACATTTCATGGTGAAAGTAGATTATTACCATTTCTAGCTTAGCTTTTAGCTTCTGAGGAGTGTCAATAATGAATTCACCTGTCAAATAAATTAAATAGGTCAGATAACCCTATATAAAGGTCCAAAACAGAGCTGGATGCCCTAATTATTTAAATCATGACTTAAAGATCAATTAAGTTAGAGCGTTTAAAGCTCACTCATTTTCTTAAAACCGAAGTCATGAGGGATCACACTGTAGAATTCTCTGCAAACGGACGCAGCATAAGAGCATCTTAGTAAGCACAAATATAAGCCTTTAAAGGATATATAAACAGATGCAGCATAAGAGCATCTTACTAGAATCAATACTGACAAATGCAATTTATTCCAGAAAAGTAATTTCTATCTAGAATGTGACAAAAAAAAACATAAGAGCATCTTACTAGAATCAATTCTGACAAATGCAATTTATTCTAGAAAAGTAATTTCTATCTAGAACGTGACAAAAAAAAACAACCGAGTTAACTTTTTAACACTGAATGCAAAACTAATTTCCTCAAACAATGCCCATGATACATGTATTACAAAGTATAAAACAGTTTAGAACATTAGAAATAATAAAATATTAAAATTCAAGCATTTATTTTAAAAAAAATCTTCATCATCTTAAAGATCTGAAACCGGAAGACAACACAGACATCCTATTATTTGATTATAGGCTATGCTTGTGAGTTGTGACCAAATTAAAAAAAATGCATAGACCCACCCAGTCAATTGTTCAAGCTGTGTCCTGTCCGTGTCTGCTCCTGAAATAACATTGGAAATCCTTTTCAAAACATCATAACCCTGTGGAACGTGGAACAACATCATTATCGGAAAAAAAGAAAAGAAAGGATGGGACAAATGGTATATGAACAAGACGATGAAATCCAAACTGTTACTTCATACGGCACTGAAATATACAGAAAACATAACTTTTATAGCACGTGGTTATGTTAACTTTCATCTAGCATGTTAGGAATTAAGTGAAAGCTTTACATGCACCGTTCTTCAACTTGCAGGCTTGTATGCTCACATGATAATTCAAACAAAGTATATGGAACAACTTACCTTAAGTATTGTAGATTTGCTTAGCTTTCCCAGAGGAAGCTTGTCAGCATTGTAACCTGATCAGTTACACAAGATGAATCAGAAAAGCAGATATTTGACGAATGAGCAACATGAAATACTTTTCAAAACAGATAAACTCTTAACATGTGGGACACCATCGAACACGCATATGATAAAATGATATTTGACTTTTTTTACTGAGTCAATTCAACTCTTTTCTGCCATTAACTGGTTTTAATCCCATATTTTGGTCTCAGTTTTTCTTCTGAAAATTAATTCCCTCATTACAGTATCTACCATGCAAATTAATTATTCCATGAATCAACATATGAAGGTTAGAAATAATTTGATTATCTTTGTTTAATGGCAACAATATTTGGCTAGCATATGAATACAGCAAGTGGTTAAACAGGATATTCCTATGATGTACAATAAGTATAAGAGCAACAACATTGAAACAGCTTACCTATTTCCACCATTTGCTGCTTCATCATGCTTATATCGCATATGAGGGATATGAAGCTTGCAGTTCGAGTTTCAAGTTTCGTTTCTTCTAACTGATTAGTAATGGAACTGGTCTTCTTATTCTAGGACAAATTTGAAGAGAACAAGGATTAAAACAATTACAGGTGCTATATTACACAGTTACTAAGTGGAAAACACAAAGTAAATCTTACAGTTTCTTTATCAGCTTCACCATAGTCCATTTCAAGCCAGGTGTATTTATGTGCATAACAATGAGATCCCTTGCGATAGGACCAATGGATATCTGTTTTATCATGGAACTTTCTCTCAAATTCATCTATTGCTTGTTCTCATGAGAAGGGACCCTGTAGCTTGCCTTTACCCCGTGTCCCTACCCTCCCCCATCTACTGTAAACCATGAAGTTTCCACCAGCATCAGATTCTAAAACCAAAACATCAGTTAATGATCGAACACTATACATTATTTCAGAGATCGAATGTATGTATTGTACAAGAACATGTGAGTATGTTTATGTATTGTTCTTCTAAAAGAAGTGGCAGTTGTCAAAGATAACCTCATGGGTCAAATTCATATCACTCAATTGATAGAAGCAAGAGTATGTTTTATAATTTAAACAGGTCAGAGAGAGGGACAGAGTGAGAGAGTTGTTGGACAGACCTAAGGCTTGGATGATATAGAACTTATTATTGTTGCCTCCAACATTAGTCTGGTTCATGGTGGCATCATAGATCTCATCACCCTGCAATATAAACTGATAAATTAGCAAAAGGCACGGATAAATATTCAACTAAATGCAAATCAGTTTCAGTATCAAATGATGAGATCATAATATGAAGAGAGGACCATGCGAAAAGTATGATAGCTACTAGCTACTGTCAATACCGAGTACGGAAATTAGAGGTTCCATCATGAGTTTTCCTTGGACTAATCTCTAAATACCTTATAGAATTAGACTTGCTACAGGTCAAGCAAAACAAAAGACCAATCAATCTATGAATAATATAAACATGCCCCAAACTGAAAACAATATAATGTACTATCAAGCACTAAATTGCTGATATGGTGTGAATAATGGAAACTTTTAAATTTTGTGTTTACCCTGGAGAGAAATTGTGTTCTGTTCGCAATTCAGCTAGCACGTATAACCAAGTAGTAGGAATATAAAGAACCATATAAATTGTACAGAAGAAATAAAGAGACAAGGTGGCAAACATTAGATCACACACCACTTGCAAGACATGGTAGGCCGTTTTGATGTTGTCAGGGATGTACTGGTCCAACACTGCAGCACCTTTCTTCGTGGCCGTGACAATCTTCTCCTTTTTACACTGAACTTTGTCATCACCATCATCATCTGCACCCACCAATTGAATACACAAGAAAAACATGCCAAAAAAATAGTTACTCGACCTAAGTTCAATTCTTCGCTCATGGTAAGTAAGATGAATGAATAAATTATTATTTGACCAGTATTAGTAGTAAGTAAGTAAACCTTTTGCGGATTTCGTCTTGTCCTGATCACCACCATCCGTGACAGCAGCAGCAGCAGCAGCATTAGAAGGGGCAGTGTGCAGCCTCCGCACCTAGTGGAAACGCGTCAGAGACTCAAGAGTCACACAAGTGAAGACGACGCACACCAAGACACAGACCACGAGCACACACTGACACACACGCGGGGACGCGAAGCTATACGGCACGAATTGCGTCATGGCTAGCGTGAGCAGATCCAGATCGCTGCCCGCGGTGCTAAAGCTCGCTGTAGGGCAGGTTGGGGGAGAGAGAGAGAGAGAGAATGGGAGTGGTACTCATGATTTGTCGCCGGAGGCGTCGAGGCCGCGGCGGCGCTGCGTCTCGGCGTGGAGCTCCTCCACCTGCAAGCCGCAGCCTCGCCGACATCCCCTCATCGGGATTCGGGAAGAGAATGGAGAAGAGGGGGGTTGGTTTTTTTTTTTGATTGGATTTGGTGTTTGGAAGAGCATCGGTTCAAGCTGTGGGTTTTGTAGCCAAAATTTTGCCAATACCAAAAATAGTTAGTCCTGTTTTTCTTATATCAAAAAAGTTAGCATTTTCAAATTATTTGGCTCAGTTAGTAGATACAACTTTAGTCGCAAAGCAGATAATTGCCTAGCCAATTTTCTAAGTATATACTAAAGGCACCATTCGATTCAGCTTATTGGCTGATCTACTCAGTCATTTTTCGCGAGCACACCTCCTAAACTATTAATTGAAAACTTTCTATATTTAATATTCTTCTAAAAATCATATGCATTTATTTTTTAAATTATAATAGTCAATAATTAACTATCATGTTATAATGACCCGTCCTGTTTTGTATGCCATAATAAGCTTAGCCAAAACTCTGCCGCCACTGCTAGATGGCCTATATATCAACCATCCTCGTCACCAACTAGGAATAATGTTGAGAAATTGTATTGAACTACTAATTCTTATATGTGTTTGGGAATTTCGCAAATGCGCTAACTAGTTACTATTTGACATATCATTAAAATACTAGTTGTGTGTATGTAGGGACTATTGTTAAACTGTAAATTTTAAAACGTTTAATTCTATGTTACATTTGCAACAAATTTGATATATTTTATAAGTAAACTTAGTTTAAATTAAATTATGTGTAAACTTTGTTTGTTTTAAAGGTTAGATGGAACAATTTTATTTTTATAGATAAATAAACAGAATTAGAATTACATACCTTATTTTATCCCTACAGGAGCCAATCACATATATATAATATGTTCTTATACATTTCTTATGTTCTTTATATTTTTAAAATTTAATAATTTCACAATTTAATACTCCCTCTGTCTCATAAAAAAAACATAGCACATGATGTGACACATCCTAATACTACGAATCTTGTCCAGATTCGTAGTGCTAGGATGTGTCACATCACATCATATTTTAGATTTGTTTTTTTTATGGGATGGAGAGAGTATTTATTTATATCGTCTTGGACTTTCAAGCTAGTATTTATTACAATGGAATTGAAGTGTTATTCAGTTTGGAGTATCAATTGTAACTTTACATGGTTTGATAATTCTTAATTTCACAAATGATAAATATCTAGTTGTATTTTGTGTGGAACCTTAAATATAACATTTCCATGATTTAATATTTGAAAAATTCGAAACTTAATAAATATTGTTGTCCTCTGGAGACTAACTATAGTATAACCAGTTGATACCATGCGTGTTGATGCGGGATGTCGTAGATTGAATTAGATGGGATATATGATGTGTTAGAAATATTTGTTTTATTTTAGTATAGCATAAATTAACATATATTATATGATACAGATTGTAGGTAGAATTTTTTTTGGGGGTTTATATGATAAAAATTGATGGTAGAAAATGTATTTTGGTTCAATTTTTTAAGATTAGTAGAAGCAATGCAATGCATAATAATCACAGAGTTCAATAGGGGCAGGAAAAAAAACCTACAAACAGAGCACATAATAAATAGGGAGAACTATTAAGCAAGCAAGTTCCTCTATTTGAAGAAAAATACTAAAATTCAAATCAAACTAAATGAAGAGAAGAAATATGGGACTTGATAGATATATGTTGAAATATTATGAAAATAATGTGATGATGATTTGATATACTTGCATGTTAAGCTCTTAAATATAACAAATTGTAGATTTACATGTTAAGATGTAATAATTGCTAGTGGATGATGATGTGACATGTTTGTATGTTAAGCTTTAGGATGTAGAGGGCTATAACTTTATACTTTAGATATAATGAAAACTACATTGTCCACTTGGTTTTGAGGCACATTTTATTTATCACACAAATTTGATGTGCTGAATAAGTGGCTCACATCATTACAATCGAAACAATGCAGATTAAACGGGCTTTAAAATTGACCCACAATGTTAAATGCAAATTTGAATTCAACTCTATTGAAAGAAAAAGAAAACCGAATTCGTCAGCTAAATTATACTCCCTCCATCCCAAAATGAGTACTATTTATCAATAGAATCATGAGTTCACTAAGAAAAAGTATTTGGATGAATTAGTGATACAAAAGTTACTTGTCGGGAAAAAGTGGCATAAACATAAAAAATACAACGACATGACAATCAATTGTATATGTGATGCGGACAATATAGAATGCATTCGGATAATATATATGTTTCCTACTTAAAAGTTATTATTACAAAGTAATTTTTAATGAACATTATCATGTAACAGTCAAAACATCAGCAACATAAGAATTTGATATTTTAAAAGTCTGTTTCAAATAGACCGTTATAGAAAGTGTGAATTTGATGAAATACCTCTAAGGATTGCAGATGCGACGACCGCCATGGATAGATCTTCTTAGGTGCAAGCAAAGCTTTGAATTGATGGATCAACATCCCAACACCTGAAATTTGTACAGCCAGACGAATTGAAGGAGGTCAATCATGATCGATTCTGTTTGTTTCAGACGAGGAACAACCGAATTAGAATACAATTTCTTGATTGAGGAAAAAACAACACCTGCGTAGGCTGGAGAGTACACCTTGAATGAGAGACATATCAAACTCATCTTTTCGCTTATAAGTAAGTCAAAAATTTAATTCAAAATTTAAATTTTAATTAAATTTGGCTGCAAGGGGACTGGATCTGATCGGAACAGTGCTAGATCTATCGTCCCACACTGAAGAAACCGCCGGCTGCTGTCTCCCGCGCCGAGGAGGAGTTTCGTCGGCTCTTTTTCCGCCGTCGCCTTCCTGGCCAACCGCACGGTTTCCGGCGGCGGCGAGGCTGCAAGAGGGGGTGAGGAGGGTGGCGGTGCAGGCGGCTAGGGTATCTCCCCCGAGCCGCCTACGCGAGAGTGACGCAGGGACTGTCTTTAGCACTAATTTTGAAAAGTTGTTGATTTTATGGTTTTAGTGTAGTGTGTCTTGCAGCATTTGCTTCTAAAATCATTGAGAAGATGTATATAAAAGTTTTATCTAAAAATATCTTTCTTTTTTTTTCGCTAACAAGCGATATAGATACAAGTACAAGTAAAAATACGGGGCGGTTGTATATGTACAGCACCTGACAGCGTGCGGAGGTCTCCAGGTGGCGCGGCGGGTGCGTCCAAACCTCCACCGATTGGTCGCGTGCAGCAGCGTCGATGCGCCGTGCGAAGTATCGCATGCAGGTCCCGTTGCTGATGAAGCCTCCTGCCGGCCGCCGTCCACATCTCGCCGCCGATCATCTGCATCAAAATTAAGGCGACTTGGGACAAGCTCCCCGTCTGCTGCTATCTCGATCGTTGTACGGAGATCGATCGATGGCAATGATATGTTGCATGAGTCCCAATTTTTATACCGAGATGATAACAGCAAAGGATGAGATGCGGTGGACGTAAGGTAAGATGGACGTCGAAATTGGATACGGATTAGGTTTTTCTATACTTTGCAAGTGGGATTATCTCGGTCAACTCTTGATCAAATTGTTGTGATCGACGATGCACTTGCCAAAAAAGAAAAAAAAAACGATGGTGCCCCCAAAAACACCTATGATAGGATGGGATTGCCAGAAAAGGCTAAGGGGCATGTACAAATCAATAATAGGAGATTAGGAGTTCTTAGTCTTAATTACTAGTTAGGAATATTCGCTGATACGAAAGAGAAGATGACTAGATGAGATACAAAACATCATTACTATTACTATGGTTAATAATAGCTCAAGAACGACTTGTAGTTTAATGGAAATATAATTGCGTGATAGTGAAAAAAGAAGAAGAAAAGACTAGCAATAAAAATTATGTTTTGAGTTCATGGTTAGAGCTTAATTTTATCGTCCCAATTGTTATAAGGAAAATATTTAGAAAATCTTGTATTGTCTAATAGATTAAACATGTCCTAATAAGCTGCTCGGATCGGTTGTTTATTTGTTTTTGGCTCAGATGAGCTTTTATCTGACCGTCCACTTTTCCATTTTTTTTTTTACAAATACCATGGATACATGACTTAGGCTGTGTTTGACAATAAGGGTTAGGAGATTCTTCCCCGTGCACATAAAACTAATGGCTCACTAGCATATGACTAACTGAGTACTGGCCTAAAAAATATAGAAGTGGATTAATTATTTTTTTAAAGCAACTTTCCTACAAATTTTTCTTTAAAAAACACATACACACACCATTTTAGTCATTCGAGAAGCATAAAAAAACCAAGTGAGTGGAAAATAGGAAGAGACAGCATCGTACACACCCTTATATTGTGTTCGTTTGGGGGTTTGAAATCCTTCCTCGGCAGCCGGCATGCAAAGCGAAACGTTGAATTAGCACATAATTAATTAAGTATTAGCTAAAAAATTTTAAAAAATAGATTAGTATGATTTTTAAAATAAAATTTTTAATGAATATTTTTTAAAATACACCGTTTAACAAATTGAGAGTGTGCATGCAGAAAACAAAACAAGGGAGTACAAGTTGGAAAGGTGTACTACCGAACACACCAGCCAAAGTTTCTTCGAATTTCGCTGATTTATTTATTTCTATATTTAATTTATGAAATTGATACACCATTTAATTAATATCATTTAGCAATTAAGATAATTCTATTATCCCCTATTATCTCATTACAAGAGAAACAATACACAATTGTTTAAATTTGCTCGATCGAGAAAGCAAACACTACCCAAGGACATCTTCCAAGAACTATATCATTTTTTTCTCTTGCATTCTATTACACCAAAATGATTTGCTCTCGATAATCTATCAATACAGGGCATAGTCGAATAACGCCAGCCATGATATCAAATTCCCACACAGTGTGCGCACACACACACATTTAACAATTAGCATACGTCACTACTAGAAAACTCATTTTCGGTGTCGTAGGGGATCGATTTTCACAGGCGGGCATGTAATTCGGAGCCAAAACCCTGCCGGCAAAAAAAATACCTGGGGTGAAGGGGGCGGTCCGTCTGCGAAGATTGATCTTTGCAGGCAGACCATATAAGCGTCGCCTGCGAAGATCGATTTTTGCAAGCG